TTAAACGTATTAACAACCCGATAGGTGGCGCCACCATCCCAGTTGCGGCACGTAAACCACATAAACGAAACTATATATAAGACGCTTATGACGCACGACAAATATGCGCATGGGAGAAAAAAAAAACAAACAAACGGTGAGGTAGTTTGTTCTGGACCATTCAGTCCAGCTGGAAGAACGGTCCTGCTTTTTTTTTTTTTCTGTCGAAAGTGTACCCTAAGACTGTGGGGTGCCGACAGGCCCATTGCCTACGGGGGGGGGGGGGGGGGGGGGGGGGGTTCGCCTCATACGCTTATTCAGTTATGGTTGCGTAGGTTTGTTAGGGATGTTTTAAAGAAATGTCTTGTTCGTTCGCGCTTTCAGAGGAAAGTACTTGAAAACAATTCAATATAGCACAGGCCTCTTGCAAGACATCTGCACTCTCGTATTCGTTTCTGTGTCTCGTTGCTGCTTCACTTGCTGAAACATCCCCTGCACGTGCACGATGACAGCACTGCCCCGAACTAGTTCAAGTGCAAACTGAATTGAACGGACCTGTTTAAACTGTTTACAGGGGCACAAAGAAGATAGACAATCGAGCGCCAACTCACGCCCGACTATATGCTTGTCTGCAATTCGTCTATTTCGCTTGCACGTGTCTCACCTATCTGCCACGGTGCTCCAATGGTTATGGTGGTCCTCAGCTGACCCAAGCAAAGGACGCATCATCAAATCTAGACTCCCATTTCGGTGGAGGCAGAAGTGCTTTAGGTGTTCGAAATTTCCGAAGCCCTCCACTATACGGTGCCCCTTTTAATCATATCGTGGTTTTGGGACGGTCAACTAAATAAAGTTGTACTTTTTCAGTGCGCACATGCAAGTGGTATTCACTCACTGGTGTGCACTCATTGGCATTTATCATTTTGTCATTCACCCGGAGCTGCACTGAAATTCATGCGAATATACTATAGATAAGTTGAACAATACGTATATACTGACGCAAAAATTTTGCATCTTTTTTTTGCTTGTTGAAATGGGTAACAGACGCCCTTTACGGATAGAAACCTCGTTTGCACGAGTGCACGACAGTTTCGGCTTCAAAGAGCAGTTCCGGGGGCAAGGTAAACGATTGGGTAAACACGTGGTCACGTGACCATGAAAAACTGTGACGTGGCACCATGCACGTGAGTGAGTGCCGCACTGACAGCCAGCACACGCGAAGCCACAGAGGGGAAAAAAAAAAAAAAGGCGAATCCCACGTACAGTGGGAATCAATTATATGCGAAGTACGAACGAGAAATGTTGATATGTCACTTTGAAATCAGCACAACGTTACGAGGTGGAGGTAAATGATGCCGTACATGACTTCCTTGTTATGTTTATCATGTTTGGATGTGTTGTTTACGTTCGTCATCTATTTACGTCACGTGATACCGAATTTAGTATATGTGGAGCTAGCGAAACGTCCGCGAGCACGCTATGAGCGCGGTATGCTGTCATGTTCTTACATGACACGCGTGTCAGGATTATAGTGTTTGCATCGGTCATATGTTTCGTCATCCATTGACGTCACGTAACACCAAGTTTGATATATGTGGAGCTAGCAAAACGGCCGCGAGCGCATCATCTATGTAGCGTTGACGCGCGCGCACGCCGGGCACAGCGACGCTACGTTAGCAAAACGCGAGCACTCTACAGTCTGACGCCAGGCGCGACCAGCGTCCGTCGGTGCGGCCCGATGGCAACCAGCGCGAAATGCACGGAGGAAGGAAAAAGGTGGCGAAATGCGACAGGCTGCATTTCGCGCCGATGCGTTACCCAGGTCTCTCTCTTTTCGTGACGGAGGGACGCTGAATGCGCTGAAATGCGCATGCGTCAAAGCAGCGCGGCGCGCGCCTGCGAGTATATGGCAGGACCGGCGCCTGGCATGGCAACGCCGGCATGACACGACGAAACGAACGCCGGTGAGCACGCTCATCGCGTCACGTCGAAATGTATTGGTGCCTTGACAGTGGCATGTAGTCATGTTCTCACATGACACGTATGTCATGATTGTCATGTTTGCACCAGTCACATACCTTCATTATCCATTCACGTACTGTAATACCAAATTTGGTAATGTGACGCTAGCGAAACGGGCGTGAGCGCATCATGAGCGTGCATGTAGTCATGCTGTTACATGACGCGCACGTCATGATTATCATGTTAGGGTCTGTCGCTTGATTTCGCCATGCAATCATGCCATACAATACCAGTTTTGCAACATGCCACGTGAACGAAACCACCGCAAGAGCTGCACGATCATGAAATGTAAATCATGATATTCATGACACACATGCCATGATTTTCATGTCATGGCTAGTCGAATATGTTCTTCATAGAGTCATGTTATGCCATACCAAGTTGGGTATCGATAACATTCTTTAAACGGCCAGGAGAGCTAAAATTCGTAGGCGGCTAGATAGATACGCTCAAAGTCACCGAAGTTCGCTAAAAAATGCTTTGAATTTAAAATCAAACGTAGCGCAAGCGCTAGGTGCGTTTCAGCAACCAGACAACACAAACTCTGACGTACGTTAATTTGTGGTTTGCCCCGCCGCGGTGGTCTAGTGGCTAAGGTACTCGGCTGCTGACCCGCAGGTTGCGGGATCGAATCCCGGCTGCGGCGGCTGCATTTCCGATGGAGGCGGAAAGGTTGTGGGCCCGTGTACTCAGATTTGGGTGCACGTTAAAGAACCCCAGGTGGTCAAAATTTCCGGAGCCCTCCACTACGGCGTCTCTCATAATCAAATGGTGGTTTTGGGAAGTTAAACCCCACAAATCAATGAAATCATTAATTTTTGGTTTACCAAGATTGACCTTGGTTTACCTCCGTGGTGGTGTTGTTCTTATTGCATTGGTGGCACTCACCCACAGAGAGGGGGATCGGCCAAGAACCGGGCGGCAGGATCTTTGGGTTAGTTGGTTATGTATTTCAAATCATTCAATAGAGTTTCAGTAAAACATAAAACAAATCTTAAATGTTGTATGAAGATGCTACGCGACCTAGCAGTCAGGCAATTATAGCCTCGGAGCAAGAAATATTAGTATCAATGGACTAACAAGGTAATATTTTTGTTTCCATTATGTACGTTTACATTGCCCCTGCGTTGGTGACGGTGTCGAGAGGGGCTCCGCATCTTGCCCATTTGCGTGGCATGCACTGTAAAATTGATTTTAAGCATCTTCTCTCCTTCTTTGGACTGGTCCTTTTCGATTCAACTCCCAGATTACACCCCGGTATTCATTGCAGAATTATTGGCCATTGTTCTTGCCCTACGGAAATTACCCTCAAGCGAATCATTAGCAGTTATCATTACAGATTCGTTATCAGTTTGTAATGCACTTTCTGCGGCAGTAAATGTAGAGCTGATGAATACGTTTCGGCATTTAGTACCGAAAAACGTAAAAAAACTGCATTTGCTATGGGTACCGGGCCACCGCGGATTATATTTGAACGAAATGGCGGACTCTTTAGCAGCAGTATTTCTGGGTGGGCCCACCATCCCAGTTTTGCCAGATACGGCTTACGTGACAGCGCTAAGGTTCCGAACGCTTGCCTGCAGTGGGGAAAATGTAATTTGGATAAATTCAAAGATTTCGAGCATTTGAGCTATTGCTGGAATAAACAGTGGTGTGTATCTCGCCAGTTAGAGGTCACTTATACCAGATTGCGCTGTGCAGTTCCACAACTAAATTATTACCTTAACAAAGCTCAACTCATGGCGTCACCGCTATGCATTTGGTGCAACGAAATTGAAACAATTGAACATTTCTTTTTATTCTGCCATCGTTATTCTTATCAGAGAAAAAGATCTTTAGTAGCCCCATTACAAAAGCTAGGAATACAATTAAATCTACCAGTAATTTTATCACTTGGCGGAACTTCATTTGGTTACTGCCACAGGGATGTATGCTCCACTGTGTTTGATTACATCAATGCAACTAAAAGATTACCGTGCTAGCGAACGCCAACCTTTTCAGATTTTTAGTTTATAATTCGTAGTTATGTCTATCAAAAACAAGAGATGGTTTGACCGCTTGCTCAGCAAATATTTTTGTTTTTTTTTGGTAGTACTATTTTTGAGCTACTTTTTCATATTGGCTTCATTTTCATTTTAGCTTCATTTAAGTATCCTGCCGCCCGGTTCTTGGCCCATCCCCCTCTGTGGGTGAGCGCCATCCATAAGAAGTCATCATCATCATCATTAAGTATGTTCTGGGATATAATTGGTCTTGATATCTCGTAAATGTTGTGTATGTCTACACATAAATCTATCACGCCTCCGAAGTTTTGGGCCAGTGCTTCTTTAAAGGCCAACTCCGGCAATTTTTTGAGGTCAGTGGATTTCAATGAAATTCACTGAGTACGTTCACTTGCACGTTCGCGCATTCATTCACATTACCTGTTTACGGCGTAAACAGGTAGCGTCATCTGGCGGGAATTATGTGCACCCAGGCAGGTTGGGTTTCGGTATTGCGGTTTTTTTTTTCGCAATTAACAATTGTTTTGGAATTTTTTGAGCATTTAAGCTATTCGGCACGTGAGAAGAGTTACTAAGGAACATAAAAGCACCATTAACCTGACATGGACAAAAAATCGCCGGAGTTGGCCTTTAACGCTCTTTATGAATACATTCTCAATAAATATATGTGCTAAGGAGCTCCCGCTTGCTAGCTCTCTATGCTCTACGTTCGTTACACAAGATATTTATGATACTGGGAACTTGGTAATGGCTGTTTACGAAATAAAAACTTCAGAATCCAGCCACCCTCTCCTGGTGTGAAGGAGCAGGTTCAATGAGCACTAATCCTAAACTAAGGTTATGTCGTGTTGCCAAAATAAAAAAAATTACTGGTAACTAAAAAACACACCAAAACTTAAGTGATTTGTAGTTTGAGTAAAAAACTCGCAGTAAAATTAAAACAAAAAATATTTGAAAACATTCGAAGCACCATTGCGTGCGCATCGCGAAGAAAAATCATGGCGGCCAACGTAGCGTTAGCGTTGTGTTGAAGTCCGCATCGTTCAGTTGTTTACATTTACGAATAACCTGCGAAATATAATAAAAAGTAGCCATGGGATCGTCCAAGAAACACAAGGACAAGGATCGCGATCGGGAAAGACGAAGGAAAAGAGCAAGGACAAGAAAAAGTCGCGTCGTTCGCGCTCCAAGTCCAGGGAGCGAGACGGGACCAAGGAAAAACATCGCCACCGCGACCGCAAACGCACTCGCACCGCCGTTCAAGACGAAGGACAACCCGCGGAAAAGGTCCGGGTCAAAGAGGAGCGTGAATTGTCTCCTCCCAGACCCAAGCAAGACCCAAGCGGGTCCGAAAGTGAGTGACCGTTCCGTGACGAGGCTCGCTTCGTGCGTTGGCAACACAAACCACTCGCCGCGATCGTTTAGGGGTTGCGGCGCTCCAATGCTGACCAGCAAGGTCGCGGGGTCGAATCTCGGCTGCCGCGTTTCGATGGAGGCGAAACGCTAGGGGCCAGTGTACTTTTTAAGATTTAGGGGCTACGTTGAAGAACACCAGATGGTGCGAATTTCCGGAGCCCTCCACTGCGGCGTCCCTCAAAATCATATCGCGATTTTGGGACGTGAAATCCCAACGTTTAAACTAAATTGTCAACGAGAATCGTTCGTCGTACGTCACTTCTAACAACATCTCTATTCTCAGCGGTGTCTGCGGCAGTTGAGTGCGGTAGAACGTTTTACACTCGAGAATATGTAGCGCGTCTGAGAAGAGAAACTCTGTCAGCTTTGTAACCCGCGACATCGAATCAGGGAGGCAGTCACATTGAATCATGATGTAAATTAAGGGAAACATGCAACTGCGCCATTATCTTCCTTAATTTACATCATGCGGGCCCTTTAGCGTTCAAATCAGCATGTCAGAAGGCGTGCTTACGAATAGAGCACAGAAATATCCGCGTGAAAGACATTGCCAACGCTTTCATATGCTAGTCCTTGAAGCGCTATCAATTACGCTGTAAACAATCTACTACAAGCTGCACGATGGCAGAGTGAATAGTTTTGCATATTGTTTACACGTGTTTCTGTTTATTCAGACGCAGGAACACAATCAAACGCAACGGAATGTTTGAAAAGTACCACATTTCGTGCTGTTACAGTTTAGGTGTAGACGTGAAAAGTTCAGCTTAATTTTTATCACTGCTTCTGTAGCTGTTCTGTCTGCATAGTCGAAGAACAGCCCTGTATGTTTAGCCCTCATATATAGGTTTAGCATATGAAATAGTCTTGTGGAAGGTAATCCAACTGCAAATTGCAAAGTTTCATTGTATTCTCTGAACACATCCTGTGCGGCCATAATAGTGTTTATGCCCTTGTACTTTCTGATGCTGTTAAGAGTTGCTTAGAAGTCTGCTAACCTCGATTCATTTGGGAACTTTACCTGATGCTTCACTCGGTTTTATAATAAAATCCGGGGGAAAGTTTTGCTTCTCGATATCTGACTTTACCCTTGCCTGTAATGGTGAACAAGAAGAAGGTAACTGTTTGGAGCTCACTTATTTATCCTAATCCTTAAATTTATCTGATAACATGTTCATAGGCAATAGTAGTTTCCAGAGCAAACAAATTAGCTGCAGCTGAAGATACGGCTAAAGCTGCTCATCACTCCGATGTTATATTTTTGCCTCTTCTGAACTGCATTAAAAAAGCCAAATCACCATAATTGGAGTGTGTGTGTGTGTGTCTATACAACTGAAATTGTGCTCGTAGAAATGTGAAAAAAAAAAGAAAAAAATTCTCTCTTTTCTGTTGCTTTTGTGCTCGTGGACCATCAATCTTAAATCTAGCAGACTGGCAGTACTCCAACAATTAATTAATGTGTTGATTCTTTTTTAGGTGATACTGGGTATCAAGACAAATCTTCCCTTAGCATTGAGGAGACCAAGTAAGTTTTTTTTATTATTTTGGTGCCGCTGCTTGTTGTTCACTGTACCACATCTTTTCCTTCACTTCCACAGCAAGCTACGAGCGAAACTCGGGCTCAAGCCTCTACAAGTTGATGGAGGAGGAATTCCAGGTACAGTTTATTTGGGATGTTTTCTTTTCAAGCGAGTTGAAGATTTTGGTGGCAGTGGCGTTGTACGTGGAAGACCTTTCACCGGCAATCGTACAGAAACGCAGCTCTCGAAGGTGCACCTGTCACAGGCACGTTTGTATGCATCAATTTTCTAATAATTGATGCTGTCTCAGTCGTGTACTTGTCGGCCATCAGCTGCTTCTGATGCGGTGATCTCATATTTTATTGAGTGGACTTGTAATTTCATGTTCCTACTTTTCATTGTTGGCCAGATACAAATGCATGTACCGTGATTGTTGCTTAGAGCAACCTTATTGTTTCGCTTTTACGCACGTGCATAAATGTTCCATTCCCAGCGTGAGGAAGGGAAAGCTAGAGGGATCATTGTGAAGTGCAATAGTAAAAAGAAAGAAAAGCAGTAGTTAAGGCATGCACAGCCTGAAATTCACTTCCACCCGTTTTCCTGGCAGGGCAACGGCTCCTAAATATTTCGTACTTACCGATAATTTTCTTTTCAGTGATATCACCATCTGACATTTACAGATGCTGGAAGGGATATATGAATATTGTGTACATGAAAGATATGTTTTGTTCATTTACATTCGATTCGCGTATAGTTATAAGGTATTTGCTGTGTAAAGAAGAGGAAGTACTCCGGCGCAGAGGCAGCAGCATCGAGTGTGCAGCAGCGGCTCGAGCTCGGAAATTGCGGCTGGTGCATCGCCTTCCAAGCACCAACCTTTCTGCTTAATAAATCTCCTTTATAATTGGTGGAGGTGCTGGGTACCGTCCCTTACACCTTCCCGCTACCATCCTGGAACTCCGTTTTCGACGGCTACCTTCTGCTATGCCGGACGCCGATCAGCAGACGCTTCCATCTCTTCCGGCCACCTGTCCAGGCAGTGTTCCTCAGCGGGAGCCTCCAATCTTCAGTGGAACAGATGACAACGACGTTGAAGAGTGGCTCTCGACTTTCGAACGGGTGAGCGCTTTAAACAGATGGACGGACGCGGACAAGTTGACACGCGTTTCGTTCTATCTTGCGGGTGTAGCCAGCCTTTGGCTTAGAAACCACCAGGCAGACGTCCGAACGTGGCCGCAATTTAAAACGTCGATTGTAGCAGTCTTCGATCGACCTGCCGTCCGAAAACTTCGTGCCGAGCAACGTTTACGCACACGCGCACAAGAAACGGGTGAAACCTTCACAAGTTACATAGAGGACGTCGTCGATTTGTGCAGACGCGTGAATTCCGAAATGACGGAAGCTGAAAAATGTAAGCACATCCTCAAAGGGATTGACGACGACGCTTTTCAAATGCTCTTGGCGAAAAGCCCGACCACTGTTAACGACGTAATTAGCCTCTGCCAAAGCTACGATGAATTGCGGAAGCAGCGAGCTCTGACAAGACGTCCTCCAGCGCACGATTTGGCATCGCTGTCTAGTGTGATCAGTGGTCATGACCACGCGTCACTAATAGCCGAAATAAAAGCATTTGTCCGCGAAGAAGTTGCACGACAGCTTTCCTTGGTGCCTTTCACACCAGAAGCTACCACAACTTTACCATCGTCTCTACGTGACGTCATTCAAGGAGAGGTCGCCGAGGCCTTACCAGCTGCTCGCGAGCCTAATCTTGTGGCTGCTCCTCTCACCTACGCCGCGGCTGCAGCCATGCCAACTCGCAAGGCGCCTGCGCCTCCGTTCCAGCCTCGCGCGAGCTATCCCCAAACTCCAGTTCACTGGACCAGCACTAACACCGCCAACCCGTGGCGCACCCTCGATAATCGCCCGATATGTTACGCTTGTCGATACCCCGGACACGTCGCAAGGTATTGTCGCCGCCGGACGCATATCACCAATGAAAACCGCCGTGAGCCTTTCTTCCCGCTTGACTCCAACGCGCGATACGGTTCCTCCACTCCAATGCCAGCCCGCTACCAGGACGACCACCGCCCTCGGCCGGGACGTCTTCGCTCGCCCTCTCCACGCCGCCGCTCGCCTTCTCCTATGCGTCGACGGCCCGCACCTAACGAGGAGGAAAACTAGACGACGCAGTTCCTGAGGCAAGAACTGCGCAAGTTTCGGTTTGCCCAAGTCCTCATTTGTCACCTACCAATGTTATTGATGTGTTCGTCGAAAATATCCTTACTGTCGCTCTTGTAGATACCGGTGCAGCTGTTTCGGTTATAGATGCTGGATTTTGCCGCTCAATTCGTAAGGTTACGACGCCTTTCTCCGGATTATCGCTTCGCACAGCCAGTGCTCAACCTGTTCAACCGACCGCAGTATGTACAGCCCGCGTGACAATTCAGGACGTTCTGTATACGATAGAGTTCGTGGTTCTTTCATCATGCTCCCATAATATTATTTTGGGATGGGACTTTTTGTCGCGTCATAACGCCGTAATCGACTGTGCTAGGGCTGAGGTCGAATTTTGCTCACTGGATGACCAAGCGTCCGTCGACACCCAGTTTGCCACTAAACTTGTCGTTAGCGATGACACCTACATCCCTCCATGCTCTTTTGCGTTCGTGCCAGTTTCATGCAGCGCCATATCCGACGGCACGGTCTTCTTCACACCATCTCCAATATTCGTCGCCCGAAGAGCTCTCCCCCTTCCTTTTGCTGCTCTCGATCTTGTAGAAGGGTCAACCACAATGCCAATTTATAATCATGAGTCGTCGTCTTTATCCCTACTTTGTCGTGAGTGCCTTGGCCACGTCGAGACAATCAGTTCTTCCAGAATTATATCCGTCCCCGATGAGGTGCCTTCTACCTCCGTCTGTGAACTGGCTGTCGTCTCAGCGCCTGACTCAACGTCGGCAAACATATTTCAACCATTCATCGCTGCAGATTTGACAACTTCGCAGCGTTCACAACTCCTCACCATTCTTGAGAGCTACCGCCACTCTTTCGACGTTGAACAAACATCTCTCGGCCGTGCCTTAGCAGTAGAACACCACATCGACACTGGGTCCCACTCACCGCTGCGACAACGACCATATCGCGTGTCCGCTACAGAACGCCGCGTCATTGCTGACCAAGTAGACGACATGCTTCGCAGAGGCGTCATTCGACCTTCACAGAGCCCATGGGCGTCTCCGGTGGTTCTTGTCAAAAAGAAAGACGGTTCTATTCGTTTCTGTGTCGATTTCCGGCGATTGAACAAGATCACGCTGAAGGATGTCTATCCACTACCGCGCATTGACGATGCTTTGGACAGTTTGCAGGGTGCCGAGTTCTTTTACTCGTTAGACTTGCGGTCAGGCTACTGGCAGGTGCCTATGGCGGAGGCCGATCGCCCCAAAACCGCTTTTGTCACGCCAGACGGCTTATATGAATTCACCGTCATGCCCTTCGGACTTTGCAATGCACCTGCAACGTTCGAACGAATGACGGACAACATCCTGCGTGGACTAAAATGGAAGATATGCTTGTGTTACCTCGATGATATCGTGGTCTTCGCCCCTAACTTTGACACACACTTACGTCGCCTTCAGCACGTCCTTACTTGCTTAACTAACGCCGGTTTGCAATTAAACCTCAAAAAATGTCGATTTGCCATGCGTCAACTGAACATTTTGGGCCACGTTGTTTCCAAGGAAGGCATCCTCCCGGATCCCGAGAAATTGCGAGCTGTTACGGCGTTTCCTAAACCTGCCACCATCAAAGAACTTCGAAGTTTCATCGGCTTGTGTTCTTATTTCCGGCGATTCGTCCGAAACTTTGCGTCTATTATATCACCTCTCACGCAACTTCTCAGTAGCTGTAAAGACCTCTTATCGTGGTCCCCTGCCTGCGACGAGGCTTTCACCACCCTGCGACGGCTTCTTACGACGCCACCCATTCTACGCCCTTTCGATCCTGAAGCTCCAACTGAAATCCACACCGACGCCAGTGGTGTAGGCCTGGGTGCTGTGCTCGCACAGCGTAAACCGGAACATCAGGAATACGTCATGGCATACGCTAGTCGCACACTTACCAAGGCTGAGAGCAACTACAGCGTCACAGAAAAGGAGTGCTTGGCCATTGTGTGGGCCCTTGGAAAGTTTCGCCCATATCTATATGGTCGTTCTTTTGACGTCGTGACCGACCACCACGCGTTGTGCTGGCTTTCGACGTTAAAAGACCCATCTGGCCGCCTCGCTCGCTGGGCGTTGAAAATTCAAGATTACGACATACGCGTGGTTTATCGGTCAGGACGGAAGCATGCTGACGCCGACGCCCTTTCCCGTTCCCCCCTGTCCCAGAATGCCACAGCTGACTCCGCTTGCGATTCCACATTGTCATCGCTTGACTTTGACACCATTGCTATCGAACAACGCAATGACCCGTGGACTGCGTCTCTCCTCAATCATCTCTCCGACACTTCTAAACTCCCAAAGACGCGAACGCTTCGGCGCCAAGTTCCACACTTCTCGATACGTGACACGCTTCTCTATCGACGCAACTACGCACCAGAGGGACGCAAGTGGCTGCTCGTCGTTCCACGAACCCTGAGGTCGCAGATTTGTTCCTCTTTTCACGCTGACCCACAATGTGGCCACGCAGGAGTCTTCAAGACCTACGAAAGGGTTCGACTTCGGTACTACTGGCTTGGCATGTATACCTTCGTTCGCAACTTCGTCCGCTCTTGTGCCGAATGTCAGCGCCGAAAATCTCCACCACACGCCTCCGCCGGTGAACTGCAGCCTTTACCATGCCCTTCCCGACCCTTCGAACGGGTTGGAATAGATATTTATGGGCCACTTCCATTGACTCCGACTGGCAACAGGTGGATAATAGTTGCTATCGACCATCTAACGCGCTATGCTGAGACCGCTGCTCTTAAAACGGCTACAGCACAGGAGGTTGCCACTTTCCTACTGCGTCATTTTGTGTTGCGTCATGGAGGCCCTCAAGAACTCCTCAGTGACCGCGGCCGCGCCTTCTTGTCCGAGGTCATTGAAAAATTGCTCGCTGAGTGTGCTATTGTACATCGCACATGTACCGCTTACCACCCACAAACCAATGGGGCTACCGAGCGCTTTAATCGTACTCTCGGTGACATGCTATCTATGTATGTGACGCCTGACCACTTTAACTGGGACTTAGTTCTCCCATTCATTACATACGCCTATAATACAGCAACGCAAGCGACAACAGGCTTCTCCCCTTTTTACCTCCTCTACGGCCGTCACCCCTCCCACACCATTGACACCATTTTGCCCTATCGACCAGACGCGTCCGAGTGCCTACCGATCTTGGACGCCGCCAGACACGCAGAAGAATGCCGCCAGTTAGCTCGTCGCTTTACCTGCGATGACCAAAACAGGCAAAAAGCAATTCATGATGCCCAGACCTCAACTCCCGTTTTTCTTCCGGGTTCTCTTGTATGGCTGTCAGTGCCGCATCGCACACCAGGGCTCTCTTCCAAACTTCTGCCAAAGTACGATGGGCCATATCGTATTGTCGAACAAACTTCGCCAGTAAACTACCTCATTGAGCCTCTTACGCCACCATCAGACTTGCGACGTCGCAACCGCGAGGTTGTACACGTCCAGAGGCTCAAGCAATACCACGGTTCAACGCCGCCTGCCCAGGACTAAGTTGCCAGGATGGCTCCTTTTTTTCTCCGCGGGGCCATTGTAAAGAAGAGGAAGTACTCCGGCGCAGAGGCAGCAGCATCGAGTGTGCAGCAGCGGCTCGAGCTCGGAAATTGCGGCTGGTGCATCGCCTTCCAAGCCTTCCAAGCACCAACCTTTCTGCTTAATAAATCTCCTTTATAGCTGTTTCAACTTCCAGTTCTTGCTTTCTTTCATATTTTTTTTTCTTAGTCGAGTATCCATTTTTACTAAGCAGAACAGATGGCCATCGCACTAGCTCTCCTTGATCCACAAAGGACTGATATTTATACGGACTCTAAATCGGCTGCTAGGGCCTTCGCTTCTGGTTCCATGTGCAAGGAAGTTTTTTAGAACTCTCGCTTTCAAAGAACTCATCCACCACACTATTATTTGGTTCCCTGCTCACCTTGGCTTGAATGTCGGGGGGGCCTTCCCGATGTCAATAAGCTAGCCCACTCCAAGGCGCGAGGCTTCACTTACCGCACCAAGACTTGTGCTTTTCAGGCAGAGGAATCTTCCTCCAAGCTTTATTTTGACTACCTTCAACCAGATCACGAAGCACTATTAATTAGGCCGTAGGTCCTTTCCATTGCCACACGAAAAGTTGTCTAGGCCACAGGCAATCTCTCTTTGCATGCTTCAGAAGGGAACATACCCTAGCATCGTAACCTACAGCCGTTACTCCGATATTTCAGAACTATGACGGACTGCCACAATTGCAGTGATTTTAACCACATGCTCTGGAGGTGCCCCTTTTTACAAGAAAAAAAATGAAGAATTTTCTGAAAATTCCTTTCATTTAGTGCTCGCTAGTCCGGTTCTCATACAACAACTCAAGGCTGTCCAGAATGCCCACGATGCGGCGGTGAGGTTAGGCCTTCCCGTCCCTACGTGGGAGCAGCCTGTGATTCTGCCCCTATGAAACGGTGGTGGAATCCCTCAGGACGCCAATAAAAGTTTTTCGTCCATTCATCCATCAAGTATCCTAGCAAAGCATGTTAACTGGAATTTATCTGGAGTAAAGAACCATTCCTTTGCTTTTTGAGAACAACTTCCTGCCAATATGTCCTCCCTTAAGTAAAATGTACAAGGTTTCTCGTCCAGCGTCTCCTTGGTAATTGGACTTTCCATATAGCATATGACCTTTAGCCACTGCTGCGGTCTTTTTCACTGTTCTATGAAATGAAATGACCGTCCCTCTGTAGAATAACTGAACTGTAAAACAACTGACTGTACAATGTCTAGATCATTGTTTACATTGCGATTACATTTCAATTGCTGTAGGATACATTCCATCTGCTCTCTGATGCAGATTTGATGCCCAAAACTTTGGCATTAAATTAAGTAATTTTTATTAGTTTGTAGACATTTGGTCATAATTGATGCCACCAAGGGTGAAAGAAACCAAAGTGGTCAAGATTAATTCAGGTTTCTCCACTGCAGCGTGCTTCATAATGATATTTAGTTTTGGCACTTGAAACTCCAAGAAGCTTTTCTTTTGCATAATGCCGTCCGTGTTTGTAGGTCTCGGAGATGTACCCGTTGGTGATGCCAACGAGGACGAAAGGAAGGAGGTCTTTGTCAAGACCGAGAACATGCAAGCCAAAGTGGAGGCGCAGAAGCTGAGGGAGAAGATCTCGTCGAATCGGGAGAAAAGGAAAATCGCTGAAAAGTACAGGTGAGCGTGGTTACCTGCCTATGACAGGGGACATGAAAATCCTTTCGGGATTGCTGAGAAAATAGATCCTGCGAAAGCGTACACCGCCGTAAACAGCTTAGCAAAATTCTGCAATCATGCGTGGAAAGAAGAGTTTTAGAAGCAGAGTGCGGAGTTAACGTTTTCTCAAGTTCACTGTCTTCACACAGAGGCTCGTCCTCGTTTTTTTTTTTGGCCTAGGAGGTGCCTGATTTCTGTCGTCAAAATACGGATAGTATGCATGCTATCCGTACAGCATTCGGATAGCAGGCTATCTGATGTTCATGCCATTTGTGCTACAAAATATGGATAGCATGTAGCCAACATAAATCGCGAGGTGTGTTTGGATCAGATACACTTCTTGTCACATGATACTGTCACGTGCTGGTGCTGCGCTCTGTAGTCTGCTAACGTTACATAGTGAGCCACACCTGTGCATACAAACCATAGCAAGAGTGAGTGGTCATGTTTACCAGATGCTGTCACGCTCGTGACACACGCTGAAAGAAATTCTAGACTCTGTGCCATCTTTCCATGTGTCGATTCCGATGCACTCGGCGGGTTTAGAGAAAACACTTAGAGGGTGTGACAATTCTCTACTTGTTCTTGACGGATCCAAGAAGATATCAAATTAATCAGTTTGTAAGGCAATCAAACTCTGATACTGTGGCTGTATGATGTCCTGGATAAATGGTTAAAAACCCTTTTAATTCACAGGTTCCTCAATCTTACATTGATGGTTATTTAAGTAAGTAAAGTTTACAATCTAAGTGCAAAATTTGCTTAGCGGGTGTTAATTTTTATGCTCACCATCTAGAATCATAAATGCTTTACAAGTGTCAAGTGAAATGTAGCTGTTTTTGAAAACATATACCATAGTTCCATATGCTCAGTATGCTACATTTAGAATGAATGGGTTCACGGGCGTGCATAAGCCACCTTACTTTCGTGGTATGCAGTATACAGTCGCCGACCGATTTTTCGGACCTGGCGGGGACCGAAAAAAAGTACGAAAAATCGAACAGTTCGAAAAATTAGTTTTTGCCAAAAATCTGAAGTTTATTGTATCAGGCAGGTTTAAAAAAGTTCTTGATGCTGCCTTGCCTCAAACTACGCTTGGAGGCAATTTGGTTTGCCCGTATTTGCGCCAAGGTGACATCGTCGTCGTAAATGCTCGACATAATTGTCACCGCGTTGGCGATCTCCGCCGACGACGGCTGCGGGCGGTCGTCGTTGTCGTCATCCGACGACAATGACGACCGCCATCCGGCGTCGACCGTCATCCGGCGACATCTAGCTGCGAACGTCCACTCTCTATTAGCTTGATTATGGCAGCTTTCTTCTCCATCGTCAGGGTCGTATACTTCCCACGCTTCTTCACACCACCTGGCTCCCGCGATGGCACAGATGGCGGAGCCATGCTACCGAGAACACAAAATTCGATGCCGCAGATAGCCGCTGCGAAGCACACGTCTCGACGCTACGCGACACAACCAACACAACACGTGCAGAATGGCGACTGAAAAAAGCTGCAACGACAATAAAAGAATCCTTCTTTTGCCTCCTCCCCGTGCGATGTGATGACGATAGTGCTGACCGAGGACGAAAAAACGGCATCCATCACCGCGTCTTTTAAAAAGCAAACACGGCCTCCGAAACTTAAAATATGGCGTGCGCATTCCAATCTCGGAGGCAGGAAAGGTATTTGAAGACCAAGCTTAGCCAAGCCGACGGAAAATCCAACATGGCGGCGTTCACAATGGTTTGGGGCGTGGCACGAAACGAGCGATTGAGTCCGAAAAATCGAACTTTCAGGGGCAAATTCGCCCGAAAAATCGGTCGAAACAATGCATTAGCTCTATGGGATCCCTGACGGTGCATTTATGAAGTCCGGAATATCCAACAAGTCCGAATTTTTGGAGTTCGGAAAATCGGTCGGCGACTGTATTCAGAGGATTCATATTGGATACATTAGAAACTTGATTTAAGGAAATCCAATTTTATGAATACCCCGATTGAACGAACCAATTCATATTCCCCGCACAGTTGCCCTTAGGCTGTTTTGCTTACTGTTTTAACGAAGTTCCCGATTTCACAAAATGATTCATGCTTACCCCCAATTTTGTTAAATAGAGTTTTAACCGTACACACCCTGCATAGAGAGAAGGCAAGTTTTTGCTTGCTATGGGGCTCGCACCATGCTGAAGCACTGTCAGGTTCCTACGATTGAGAGAAGTGGAATAAAAATAGCCGGCATAATTCAAAACGCTGGTGCGACTACCTTAATGTGTTTTTTTTATAGCGCACTGTAGCGTCCTGTATATCGATGCACTGTCACATTCCAGGGAGGTCAAGGGTCTTGGGGAGAGTGACGAGGACGACGACGCTTTGAGATGGGTTCAGAAAAGCCGCAAGCTGCAAAGTGAAAAACAGAAGGCCGAGCAGAGAGTGAGTGTGGTGTATAAAAGAGCTTGTGCTTTCATTTCATTGGGGCCCTTCCTAGCAAACATGAAGCTTGTTGAGATTTTTGTAATCGCTTTGGCTCAATTGTTCTGAATATCATAAAAGCTGTGTTTATTTAAACTGTATTATGAATTAGCAGGTGAGTGCCAGTAAGATGCAGATGTTGCATTATTTTCTTTTATAGAATACTGGTAAGGTGTTGTTCATGATCTGAGAATACCTGTCAAATGCTCTTCGCTGCATCCTTATTCCTCTACTTGCTTCAGTCTCACAGATCGTATCGGCATACAAGGCATAAGCCTGAACGCTTACAGAAAGGATGCAATCTAAGTTGAAGAAGATGCAATGAACCATGGTACGGAAAATTATAGGTGTAACACTAAGGCACAAGAAGAGAGCAGAGTGGGTCAGGGAACAGACAGGTGTTAACAGTTATTTAGTAAAATTAACAGCAGTAATGGATGGGGCATGTAGCATGGAGGCAATATAACTGCTGGTTATTAATAGACTGGACTCTAATTGAAGGCAGAAAATAAGGTGGACTGTCATGATTCAGAGTTCACTTGGATAATATAGCCGCAATTAGTGTGGGACCACTTTAAATGGAGAAACATGAAAGATTCCTTTCCTCACAGTTAGTGTAGTCAGGCTGCTAATGGTGATGACAAATGAAGAAAATGGGTCTGTTGTTTTTGGATTTCTCGAGATCACTGCGGCGTGGATGTGTATTAATAGAAAGGACATGTAGTATTCTATGTAAATCCACAAAATGCTTAGAATATTTTGCATTGCATGGGGTAAAGGTTTGTGAAAAGATTTGAGAAACAGTTTTTTGAATTTGTGTTTCTTTAGGCAAAGATGTTGGAAGAGATGGATGCGGAGTTTGGTATTGGAAAGATTGTCGAGGAAGAATTCAAGCCCACGAAGGTAAATTTGGATTGCTTGTCTCTGCTACTGATGAAACAATGCTCACTCCCGTCTGTTTTTTTTTCCTCTACCAGGAGTACACAGCCAAGCACCTAAAGGGACTTGAAGTGTTGCACAGCACTGAACGCTTCAAGGAAGGACAGTCTGTCATTTTGACATTAAAAGACCAAGGTAACAAAGCTTTCTCACCCATGCAGCTGCCTAGTAGTGAGGGCTGTAACACTAAGCAGAAGATGACTTACGTAGCGACAAATCACTAAATATGAGCACTACTGTTTGTTATTTGTTGGTCTGTAGTGTTTTTCTAGATACTTTGACTTGTCTTTTGTGCTCGAAAGCAGGGAAATTGTCCGAGAGGGCTAGTTTTTTCTGCATCGTACACAGCTAATCGGCTGGACAAATTATCTAAGGAAAGCATAGGGCACATTATTTGTGAGTGCTTAACTCTATTGCAATGATTTGCTCTTCAATTTAAAAAAATTAAAGTGTGTGAAAAATTACTCGTTAAGAAGATGGGATCCGAAGCCACAACCTTTGACTTACACATTTCATGCTCTACCAGCGTGGGGATAGAGCTCTGACGAGTAACCATGGCATATCAAGTAACGCGGACGCGGCGTTTCAGCGCACGCGTGAGACGCATGTCACGTCGGCTCCGTCGGAAATTGACGAATGTTGTGGACTTTTGGCAAATATCCACCAGAAACCGGGTTCAGCGTTTCGGCGAAGCCATCAGGAACCTCTGGATACCTATTTTATCCAGGTAGGCCCATTTTCCGCCAATCTACGACTGGTTCAACACCACGCGACGCCCGAGCCCGGCTAAGCCTAATGCCGACGAGGCTTACGCCCGGGCTCCCCAGCCATGGCAGCGTCCACGAAGACAGGCTACGACCCCAGCACGATGCAGTGGGTTGACATCGAGGTGGCAGAAACATGGGAAGACCCCATACCAGGTGAAGACGAATGTCTTCAGATCATGGTTCGCCAAATGCAAGAGAAGCTCGCTAAAATGAAGCCCCGAGGCTCGACGGCCGCCGCCCAGCCACAGGCTCGCAAAACAGGATCAACACCCGCAGCTTGCGTTGAGTCCCCGCGGCAGCTGGCGACGTGGAAGCCAACACACATGCCTCGAATTCGGTCGGACGAGTTGGTTATTGTGCTTAAACCAAAAATAACCATGGATCTGCACGCTGCGTTCGGCCCAGGCGGGATTGGCACAGCAGTGCAACGCTTCACCGGCAGCACCACGAACGCTGGTATCTCCGTGTGGCCGTTGTGGGACCAAAACATCGTTGTTGTAGGTGTGAAAACGGAAAGCCTGGCCTCGAAGCTGATCGGGGACCGCCAGGTACCATTTCAAGGACATTTGAAATCAGCCGGAGAAACCTGCAAGGGTGTCGTCACCGTCGCAGACAATGAAACTTCGGAATCCCTTCGACGCAAGCTCGAGTGGATCGACGGCGAAATTTTGTATGTGCGAAAACTCGGAACATCCAACGTTGCAGTGGTGACCTTCAAAGGACGCCGCGTTCCAAGATTCATTCACCACTGCTCTGAAAACGTGCCAGTGCGCTACTACAAGAAAACAGTTCCGGCATGTTACCGGTGTGGAACGGTGGGCCACAGACCGGATGCGTGCCCCAATCCAGACATTCAGCGGTGCATTCACTGTGGTGCGAAGGTGGAACTCACTCCGGAGGGCCCAACGAAGCACGACTGTCAACCCGAGTGCCTTATATGCGGTGAAAACCATTTCACCGGCTCAGCGCAGTGCGTCAGAAAATTCCGGAAGGCATGGAAGCCCGCTCTAACACAGCGGCAACATGGACTAAAAAACAAGCAAGAAGAGCCCTCAGCCCCTCTCAGGACTGACGAAAAAGCGAAGCCCATGCATAACAAGCCCAAGCCGATCAAAGCCCCAGCTGGACAGAAGTCGAGGCCGCCTACCTTCGGCGCTGAGGATTTCCCGTCACTGGCAAACCCGCCCAAACAGGTGAGCAATTGGGTAGGGGTCTCCTCTCAGTCTCTCACCACCACCACTGCCTCCCCCTCCAATTTTGAAATTTTAAAACAATTGGAAGCCATGAAAAAACCCATTGAAACTCTGGAACGCGAAAATCAGGCGCTGAAGGCGTCGCAGGCTGCTACTCTTCCACCGCCGTCGGAACCAGTGGCTATGCACACCTCCGACTGCTCGGACGATGAGCAGGACACTCAGTCAGACGTATCGGGTAACACTAGTGTGTCTAAAACTGTAGTAGGTGCTTCGAACGACATAGAAGGTCGACTAAGCAGACTAGAGGCTAAGCTTGAGGAGCAGAGAAAAATGATCCTAGAACAAACCAAGCTTACAGTACAAGACATTATTCCGCAGCAGCTGAACCTATCAGTTCAAGTCGCTATGCAAGACCTCAAGCAAAGCATTTTGCCAATTCTCACAGCCAGTGTACTACAAACCGTTCAAAATTGGCTCACACCCCAATTGGACCAACTCAAAACTAGCATTAAGACAACAGAACAACCCCGACGCAAAATTGTTCATCGTAACCTGGCAAATTCTGAATCCGAGAACAACATAGCCCAGTCGTTAACCAACCAAACTGAGTCCCCCACGCCTCTCCAGGCTCCCACGCTGGATGCAGTGGCGAAAATGACACCTCCTCAATAATAAATTCATGATGGCAGGCAATTCTAAACATAATAATAAAAGCTCCAAACAACAGCAACTCGATATTTTCCAGTGGAACTGCAGGGGGTTTAAAGATAGGAAAAAGAGGGCCACTCTTAACCTTTTCCTGCAGAATCAACATTTTACCCCTGCAGTTTTGGCGCTACAAGAAACCGGCTTACAGGCGAAATTGCCTGGTTACAACTCATTTCAGGGAAGTGCGTCCACCTGTGTTCTCGTACACAAGGAGTATACTGCTTGTCAGATAGACCTTGATCTGTCAGAGGCGCATGAATACACAATGGTCAAAGTCCTTCCCAATAAAAGACGAGATCCTAGCTTGTACATTCTAAATGTATACAGTTCTCCAAAATCTAGGCAATGTGTCTTCAACGAAATGTTTTATAAAGCGATTAAGGAAGCAGATAAGAACCCACTAGTGATTTTGGGCGACTTTAACGCCCCCAGCTATCACTGGGGTTACACCCGCGAAGTCCCCAAGGGACGGAAATTGGCAGAACTCATATCCACTCTTCGTCTATCGCTTCTCACAGATCCAATGAAACCCACTAGAATCGGGAATTCTGTAAACCGAGATACTTGCCCGGATCTATCACTGACTAAGAACATTTCCTACGCAACATGGGAAAACTTAGAAGAAACGCTCGGCAGTGATCACTGTCTCCTCAGAATCACACTCTCCGGCAACATAGGCCGTAGAAAATAGAGCCAAGCTAAGCTGACAGATTGGACAGCCTTCCGCTCACAGGTGATCCCCTCTGTGCTAGGAGCGGGAGGATATACGGGATGGGCAAAACAGCTCCTTGCAGCCAATTTCAAGTGTCTTAAAACTATAAAGACAACGGAAGACACCCCCGCCGTCGATAAGTACCTGCTCCACCTTTGGGACGCCCGCAGAAGCTTAACTAAACGTTGGCGGAAAAACAAATCCATCCGCAAGCTTAAACTTAGAATAGCCAAGTTGAGTAAGCAAGCGGATGAATATGCTGCACAACTGAACGAATCCAACTGGATAGAACGGTGCAATGTTGTAGCTAAAGAAATGAATACAAAGAAAGCATGGCGCCTTTTTTGAACTCTCGTGGACACCGCCCAAACCCGAGGAGAAGCGCAAAAGCAGCTCCGTCGAGCCCTGCACAGTTTTCAGGGAACCAACTCCCAGCTGGCTGATGATTTGTGTGCTAGATACCTATGTCGCACCACGGATCCCAACAGGAACGCATATGAATACGCAGGTAGAGAAAACAGTCAGCTCGATGCCCCTTTTAAAATGTGCGATCTGAAAGCAGCACTGAAAAAAATGCGCAGGGGCACTGCCCCGGGCCGAGACCTGATCACGGTAAAACTGTTTGCAAATCTGTCAGACGATTCTTATCGGCATCTATTGCAATACATTAACGCGATCTGGGATGGCCAACCACTGCCAACTGAATGGAAAACAGCAGTTGTCACATTCATCCCCAAACCAGGCAAGCAAATCAGCACGGACAACCTCAGACCTATATCATTAACGTCATGTGCCGGCAAATTGATGGAAACGATGGTTAGAGACCGTCTCGCCACGTACCTCGAGAGTAAGGGGCATTTCGCAGATTCCATGTTTGGCTTTAGGCCCCACCTGTCTGCACAAGGTATCCTCTTGCAACTAAAACGAGACATTATCCAACCCATTCCCTCGACGCACAACGACAGAGCAATCCTTGCACTCGACCTTAAAGGCGCATTCGACAACGTTAAACATGAAAGCATCCTGAAGAACTTGAGTAGTGTCCATTGCGGTAAGAAAGTATTTGCCTACATCAGAGACTTCCTCTCTGAAAGACTGGCGTTCATTCGCATAGATAACGAGGAACATGGACCATTCAAAATGGGGACACGGGGAACCCCACAAGGAGCTGTCCTGTCTTTGCTGCTATTCAACATTGCCATGATGAAGCTCCCGCAAGCATTGGCAGTAGTGGAAGGAATATATCATGCAATATACGCCGATGATATGACAATCTGGACGAATCGGGGCAGTTTAGGAGAAATTGAAGACCGCCTGCAGCAGGCCGCCTCCATTGTGGAGGACTATGCGGCCCAGTGTGGGTTGCAGTGCGCTCCAACCAAATCTGAATTCCTGCATATCAGAGAAAACATTAAAGATAGGACGACCCTGAACTTGATGGTATCAGGATCAACAATACGAGAGGTTTCAGAACTACGAATCCTTGGCCTTCTGATTCACAACAGAACAAAAAACAGCACCACGCTAGACAAGCTACGGAAAATTGGAGAACAGGTAGGGCACATGATCCGCCGAGTGTCAAACAAGCGCGGGGGGCTACGAGGAAGGGACGCGATTCGGCTCGCCAATGCTTTTGTAACTAGCAGGATTCTATATTCAATACCGTACTTACGAATGACTAAACACGAAGAGAACAGAGTCGATGCTATTCTTAGGAAAGTAATTAAGTGCGCACTTGATTTACTCATCAGCACTTGAAATCAGAAACTCTCTGCATTGGGAGTCTTTAACTCTATACAAGAGCTCCAAGAAGCCCACCTCACAAATCAATATACGCGTCTTACGCAGACGCCCCCCGGGCGGCGCCTACTGGACCGCCTCTTGATCTGGCACGAAGCGAAATCGAAAACGCGGAGCGTATTACTGCACTTTTGAGAACAAAACTCTGGGTGTCCCCGCTTCCCCGCAATATGACCAGGGAGGCGCACCAGGGTAGAAGGCAAGCGCGCGCTGAGGCACTTGAACAACGGCTTGGCTCGCGTAATGGGGCCTATTACGTCGATGTGGCCGGGCTGTCGCCTAGGGGATACTACACGGCGGCGGTAATACATCAAGGAACGCAGGTGGACGGCCTCACTTTCAAAGCCACAAGCTCAAGTAAGGCGGAGGAGGTGGCCATTGCACTGGCAGTATCCCATCCAAACTCAAAACAAATAGTTACACACTCTCGAAGAGCCTGCGAGAGCTATCTTGCAGGAGAAATCTCTCCATTGTCTAATAGACTTTTAAAATTCAGCATCAGGAATCGCGATCCTACCCCAAAACGTCTTATATGGACTCCGGGACATCAGGGTCTACAGGGTAACGAGGCTGCACATGCAGCGGCTCGCGTGCTTACTTCCCGGGAAACTCCCCGTTCCCCTGCTAGACCTGAACGTCCCACACCTTTAACACGGTTTCGAGAAATCAAAGAATACTACATTGAGCAACGCCGCTTGTATCCCGCACCAGCGAAGGGACTCTCGAAAACGGAGGAGCGCATCCTGCGGCGCCTACAGACAAATACGCTGCTCTGTCCAGCCATACTAAAATATTATGACCCTAAAATAAGTGGGCAGTTCCAGTACTGTGGGGAAGTGGTCAACACTTACCATATGGTCTGGGCCTGCCAAATGAACCCAAAATTAACGCCCTTTCCCAACCCCACCAAAGAGGACTGGGAGACGACCCTACTCAATAGCTCCACACTAGAGGAACAGCGAACTCTAGTGCAGCGGGCTCGGGTGGCGGCCTCGACTAATGACGTCCCGGACTAGGGATGTCAACCAGCCCGGTGGGGATAAGGGCTATCTGGCACAGCCAGCATCAATAAAGGTTTTTTCCTCCTCCTCCTATCAAGTAACGCAATTTGTTCACCTTTTGTGCCATTGGAAATTTGGGTCAGCTGTTGTCTCGAGATGCTGAACAGTATTATTGTCAGTTGCATCGATTATGAATGTTTTTGAGGTGTAAAAGTACCTATAATGTGACGTTGTTTGTCATTAACCAGCGAATGTGTTTTTGTGATGTGAGATGTGTTAGTAGTGCATTGTATTATTGATTTCGCTGCATAGAGTGCCGTTTAAATTAATCAGAAGTAAGTTTTCATGCTGAATTGTGAAATATTCGGCATCAAATTTGCAGCTGGCATGAAAACATTGCACAAAATGTTAGCTGTAATCATGTGGTTTCATAGCGCACTGTGTTGACGAAATGTTTTATATTTACTTTCCTGATACTATATCAATATTTTTTCACATCAGGGATCATTATACATTTAGATTGTAAAGATACATATATTTAGATTGTAAAGAAAAAAAAAGTAGCAGCTGTTTCATGATAAGAGCTTTCTATTAGAGCACATACTGCCAATATAGTGTCATCGATTAGAATATTTGAATAGCACTTTTTATAGGGGATAATAAAGGTTTTTATCTACCTTCTTGTAGCCCCGCAGCAGTGGTCTAGTGGCTTAGGTACCCGGCTGCTGACCCGCAAGTCGCGGGATCCCCGGCTGCGGCGGCTGCATTTCCGATTGAGGCGGAAATGTTGTAGGCCCGTGTGCTCAGATTTGGGTGCACGTTAAAGAACCCGATGTGGTCAAAATTTCCGGAGCCCTCCACTACGGCGTCTCTCATAATCATATGGTGGTTTTGGGATGTTAAACCCAACATATCAATCATCTACCTTCTTGTATGAACGACGCGGCATCTTGAGGTTTATTTGCAGCCGTTTTTCTGTGAACGCAGTTGAGATTGTTAAAAAAACAGCGCCTTTCTGCTTTGTTTTAAAGGTGTTCTTGATGAAGGGGATGACGTGCTCGAAAATGTGAATTTGGTGGAAGCTGAAAAAGCGGAGCGAAACGTGGAAAACCGCAAGGGCAAGCCTGGCTATCAGCCCTACGATGACACTGAAGTTGATGAGTTTGGAATTGTAAGTTCGAACACTTTTGCTTTCATTTCTTTTTGAGGGGACGGCTTTGTACTCCTTACTAATCGACATTCTCGAGCATTTTGACACGAGCACCGAGCGGCACTCCCGTTTTTTTTCTAGATGCATCTGGTCAAGCACTTGCGTTTGGTTTTCAGAGTGTTAGTGAAAATTCTTCGAAAAATATAAATAGTGATTATTTGTTCCAGTGTGCGCAGAAGTGTGAAAGTGATGTGAAGCCACCGCTGCAAAATGTGCAGCCACTGGCGTCCGTTCTCGGAGCACTGAGAGGGCACTGGATTTTTATTTTGCCGAACTTGTAACAGAACTTTGGAAGTTTCCAGTGTTGATGCCTAGATGCTAGCAGTAATGTAACTTCAGTGTGTCTTGCTCTTATCTAATTCTACTCTATTCGTCCTTCCCCATGCTTCCAGGTAAAGAAGAAGTCTCTCTTGTACAAGTACGATGAAGAGATCGAAGGCGTAAAGCGAGAGAAGTTCAGCATAGGTAAGTTCCATCTCTGCATCTGCTGTTTGCTTTCAAACGAAGATGTCCCTGCTGTTAACCAGTTGAGGCTTGAGCTTTCCCCACTTTCAGTCAGTCCAGGTTTGAAAGTAAGCGAATCAAAGCTCAAGTAAAAGAAGCTTATTTACTCATTAATAGACGGCACATAATGCAATGGAAAACACTTGTGTGAATTAACAACTAAGGTACTCATCGAGCTGTGCCAAACCATGGATTGCCGTGGAAGGGCCCGACAACAGGCTGCAACGAGTATACTGACTTGAATTCTAGAAATTTTTGCTCTGTTGAGTTAATTAAACACACATGTGTCGAGAAACCTAAAAAGAGTAGCATCATGGTGCCTTGGAAAGCATTGAATTTGTTTTTATGCTGCTACATTAAGAAGGCTTTAGTAACGATTTCGATAGTGAGAGGACAGTTTCACAGTGGAGGGACAGCACTGTCTGACCTAGTTCTAAGTCGTGTGGTGAAAGCAACTTGTCACTTAGTAGCACCAGGTCTCTCATTCAGGGAGCTATCCTCATAGTGTCCCATTCGGCCTCCTTTGATTGGCTGGAGCTGGTAAGCAGCATGCCGCCTGTTTGCCGGTCTTTCTGCCGCAACGTCATTCTAATGCTACGAGCTTTCACAACTCTCGACACAAATGAGAAAGATGGAATGCATTTCGCCACAACGAGTGCTGCCCCCAGAGATCCGCTTTTAGACGCACATCTTTGAGGCTGTGCATGGACTCTAATCAGATTAGCCCTTGTATTATGTTTAACGTGAGCACCCGCCTAACGTCACTGAAAGGTCTGCGGGCATTCCTTGCATCGCTCTTTAAACATCTCAACATGTTCACACAAGTGTGCAAATCTTTCAAGTTTGTTTAAGAGTGTTACTACTCTACATTTCATCCACTTAGTTTCTTTTTACGCTGAGAATGTGCTGGCAGGTTCGGTGTGCAGACGTGGTCAAGCGCACCATGACGTCATGACTCGCTGTTTCTTGCGTAGCTGAACACGCTCCGGCGAATTGGACATGTCCACCCATAGTGCACCTCTAGAATAGCTTCCTTGCTTTCTTTTAAAGCTCGGCATTAGCAAATTGTCACCTAGCTACCCTGAGAGCAAGCAACATTGGATGCATTCGGGACACGGAATCAGCATGATAATTGATGGTGGCGCAGACTGAGGACACATGCAAAAGAAGACCCGTTCAGGACAACATAGCGCTGTATTGTCTCGAATGTGTCTTCTTTGTCGGTGTCCTCAGTCTGCGCTACCATCAATTATCATGCTACCATACCAACAGGCCTGCGGTGCTCTAGTGGCCTAGGTACTCTGCTGCTGACCAGAAGGTTGCGGAATTGAATCCCGGCTGCAACAGCTGCATTTTCGATGGAGGCAGAAATGCTGCAGGCCAGTGTACTCAGATTTTGGTGTACGGTAAAGAACCCCAGGTGGCCCAAATTTCCTGAGCCCTCCACTGCGGGGTTCACCATAATCATATGGTGGTTTTGGGACATTAAACCCCTCAGATCATCATCCCAAATCTCTGCCCTCGTTAATAGAGTTAGCAATATGTTATGCCTCATCATCACTATGTCCATTGCAGCGGCGCTGGCTTGCATGTGCTGGGTGATAAAAACCTTAAGATTGAACTAGACTGCATATATGCATGTTTCTTGGCACCAATGTGTGGAGAAGGTTAACAGTGCACGTTGAAGAAAATGTCATTTTTGTGATGCTTGAAATTGTGACAGCACTTCTTTGAATGGATTGTGTGACACTTGTACTCCAGGTGCGGGTCCGACAGAGGCCGATAAGGAAAGGGAGTTGGAGTTGGTACGAATGAAGCTGAAACAAAAACAGAAGGCACGTATGACGCATATACTACGGAGGGTTATCAAAAATGTTTTTTTCAAATTTCAATAGTATGAAAAAAAAAATGTGTATTTATTAACCCTGATTGCTTTTAAATTCCTAACTTGAGCTCGCATATTTCACATAAAGCATAGGTGTGGCTTCCCCTGACAGGTTTTTTTTTTTTTTCATCCACTTTAGTTTGTTTTTCACCTTCTCATTTCTATGTTTCTACTGAAAACTGCCACTAACATAGTGTACATTTTCGTTGACATTATTATTTATTGGGTTTATTGCTGTTTCAAACAAACAAAGGCTTCATCACTTATTTGTCTTGTCATTTGTTTTTACAGCCAAAGTACTTTGTTTATCTAAAAATTCTGGTAGTATTATATATCAATGATATTGACACCTAATGGTTTAGTCTGTCATGGAATTTGTACAGAGTATAGAGGTGGTTTGTGGACGCATGGTTTAATGGTGCCGCATAAAAGACCCGGACATTTCACTTTTCATCAAACCCTGTGCACACACCTGGACTTTCTGCGTTGTGCGGTTGTTCGACACCATTTGCAATTAACTTTGCAGGACAGCCTCATCATGCCTGCACCTCAGATTGCTACCGAGTACTACACACCCGACGAAATGGTAGGTGAAATTCTTAAGTGAAGCTTTTTATGAGATGCCAATTTTGGTGGCGGTGGTGTTGTTCGCGAAAAATCTGGCACTGGCTGGGTGCAGAAATGCAGCCTTTGAAGGTAGGTACGCCCGTTACGTGGGCATTTGTATGTGCCGTTTCCCAATAATCGATGCTCCCTCGATCATGGGCGTCTTAGTGATCAGGCATTTTGGGTATGGCAATGAGGTCTTTTGTCGATGTGACCTGTCATTTCACCTTGCTGGATTTCGTCGTTGCCTGGGTACCACAGCTCGTTCCCTTGGCTGTGGTTTCGCTAGATAGTAGATAGGGACACGGGGAATCTCATTAATTCATTCATGCCCATCGCTAATTAGATGATAAGGCATTTGGCTATGGTTTGGCTACATCACAGCCCCCACCTGTTGTAGGGTATTATCATCTGAGATTGCAGAAAGACCGTTTTAGTTCCGGTACATCCGTTTTTTTCCTCGCTGTTTGTGAACTCATGCACCCTGTTATTTGGCTGCCTTGTGGCGGGGGAGTTCGTGACCTACTTCAGGGGATGTTTTCTAGCGGCGGGGCGCCTTTCTTATTTGACCGGGCCATGGTGCGAAGTGACCCCCCGTACTCGCACCAGTTCCGCACATTACTGTTGTTGCCTGTAGCAGCTGAGGTGTTTTGCTTTTGAGCACTTGGATGATGGTCCTGCATGGAGGAAGGAATCGGTTAGGAGGGACTAATGCACAACGCGACACAAGGAAACAGAAGTACGTCATGTATGCACATGCTAAGCTTGAGAAACCAATGCGCAATGCGACACAAGGATACAGGAGAACGTCATGTGCGCACACGCTATAAGCTTGAGAAATGGTTAGGGGGGACTAATGCGCTATGCGACACAAGGGAACAGAAGTACGTCATGTACACACACGCTATAAGCTTGAGAAATGGTTAGGGGGAACCAATGCGCAATGCGACACAAGGGAACAGAAGTACGTCATGTACGCACACGCTAAGCTTCGCTAGCCCTCGTGTTCCAGATAGCGCAAGCGGCCTTGGAATTTTCTTTCCGTTCCTGTAGCGCTTGTTATTCTATAATTGAGTCAAGCAATGCATCTGCATGGGTTTTCACAGTGGCTTGATTTCACATGGCGTACAGGGAGATGAAAAATTTAAGACAGCTTCATTTTTTTTAATACATTGTGGGTTTGGGACGTTAAACCTTACCAATTATTACATTATTATTTTTTGTGCATTATAGCACTGAAATTTCGCTGCGTGAAGGTTGCGTGTATGGATCAAGTCTGGGTCACTGGTTGAGGGGAGACATGAGGGCTTGCTTGTCTTGCATATTTTATTTTTCATTGCTCAAACGCAGATGATCACGAGAGGCTTTCAAAGGAGGCGCAGCACTGCTTCTCTTGCTGAGATACTCACTTCTTGTGTGCTTGCATGAACGTGAGAAGCTACTGAGAGTTAATTTCATCGTCATAAGCTCAACTTATGGCTTGCCAAAGATCTGTGAAACATTTTTTTTCCTTTATTTGGAATAAAGGCTCATTTCTTGTGATCTAATTTGTTTCTGTCTTTCTATTCATGCATTGCAAATGGCCAGAAGAGTCAGTGTGTGCAAAAAGGAAGCCAGAAATAAAGCTGTAGCAAACTGTAATGCCGACGCTATCTCCTTAAACGAAAATTTGCTGCCAGAGGTTATTGTGCTAAAGCGTATGTACTTACTTTGTAGAACCTCGAAGAGCTGATTGTGGAATCCTAAAGAGAAGAGGGAAGTCATGTAAATTGCTTTGTTTTTTGCATTGGGCACTACGGTGCCATTAGATAAAATGGTATATTACAAACTATCATTGAGTGTACCTAGGCATTTGCATGTAATAAGCGCGCTTCAACAGTTACCCTGGAATGCTTCACGGCATGAGATTTTGTCTTCTGTCTTCCATGTGTTCTCTCTCAAGGCGACGTTCAAGAAGACTAAGAGAAAAGTGAGGAAAACGCGCAAACGTCAGACTTTCAAGGCAGATGACCTTGTTCCACTACCTGGACACGGGGATGACAAAAAAGACCATGGATCACGGTAGGATGCTTTCAAGCTTCCAGCCTTCTGATTACAGAACCTGTCCGTGAAGCAACTCTTTCCTTACCATGCCTATTCAAATCATCGGCAATCAATGCTTTGAATCATCAAATTTGTTGTCTTGAGTTTGTTTCTCGTGCACCTAACACTTCCAGGCAGTTAGTCCAGCCACTCAACTTTCGGAGTCAGTTTGAGCTAGCCCAGGTCTAGGCAACTTAGTGATTTTTGACAGATCTTTGCGCGGACCAATGTACATGTGTTCTTGGGAAAATATCCTTGGCAGAAGAACTGGAGAGAAATGCGCGCCGCTAGCTGGTATGTTCCAGTGACATTAAATTTCTGGAATCTGAAAGAATTCTTCCAAGTCAAATATCAAATTATGGTGTCAGCTTTGCAATTTAATAGTGTTGAGCACTAATAACTGACTGAAATCTGTGTCGGCTATTCGCATGAAGTTTCTGTTTGGGGTCGGGGAAGATTTATTCTACCAAAAATTATTTACGAAGGTCCACTGCATGTAAAAGTTGTGGAGCTAGCCTTTTTAGCCAGTTTCTAGTAGTTTCGGTTTTTCTTGTATTGTTGTATATCAGACACAGGGCCATATCCAGCATCGCTATTTGCTCGCATAACTTCGTCGTCACATGTGCATGACTGCGCACCTGCGTCGCAAGAAACGCACAGTGTTCAAAATAATTTAGGTCTGTTCTATGAACCGGCACGACACAAACCAGTTCGGGAGATGCTTAACCTTGTCATTTGTTTCCTTGCTGCAGCAATGACGACTTCTGAACTATGCCATTCATTTCTAAAGGTGCAGGAGAGGTGCAGCGCTGATGTACGATTTTCCTGCACCCTAGGCTGATAATGCTTGCTTGGTGCAGTCGCGCACTCTGCTGGGCAGTCGCGCACTCTGCTGGGCAGTCGCGCACTCTGCTGGGCAGTCCCGCACTCTGCTGGGCAGACGACGCATCACTTAGGGGTAGGCGCCGTACCAGCCTCCACTAATGCGGTGTGTTTTGCTAAGATGTTTTCACACGATAAACTGTCTACATGTGCGGTTCGCTATCAATCAGTGTTAGTTGGATGGTGTACATTAAGCGCACAGAAATGAGGCCGGCACCTTGTCAGCACCTTGTCATTAATTTTGGGTGTCGCGCTGTGCCTGCACCGCTGAAGTCGCATTTCACAATTTCAGAACTTCTCGTGCACAGCCGTGAATGGTTCTGAATGGTGCAGGTGAATCGAACGGACCTCTTGCATTCACAGCTTCATTGAGTGACGACAAGCTTTGAATTCAAAGAATACAGCACCTCAGCTTCTAGCTACGGCAGTGACCAGCTATCAGAGCTTGAAGACATCAGGATTTGTTTGGGCTTTCCGGAGCTGGTTTCGTTCATGGCCTCACGTGGTTTTCTCCGCCACGCATGCGTGACTGCTGACCTTTGTGCACAATCTTAGAGTTACTCTACATATGTGCGAGGTCCACACGTCGCGGGGATGCGATGTGTTGGCGTCGGCTGCAGCGCTGCTCTGCACGACAAAAAGGCCGCCTGAAACACATTTCGGCCCTGCACTGCACAGCATTGCAAGATGTTTTAGGACTGTGCAAAATTTCGTTTTTAATGCCATTTGCAAAAATACAAATAAATATACTTGGCTGCATATTTGGAGCACCGATGCGGAGAGAGGTGGCTTATGGAAAGAGGTGACATTATATTTCTTTCTTTATAACATAAATTATTGGAAATAACATTTCGTTATGCCTAGTTTGATGTGCTGCAATCGGTGCTGGAGTACTTTTGAAACTGGCACAGTCTTTCTTCCCGAGACATATAAAAAATAACTATTTTCTTGCTGTAATGAGAGGGTTAAGGATGGTGGATTTCGTAAAAAGACTTTGTTAAAATCCTATTGGTTGTACCTAAATTGTTAAAAATAGTTACTTGGGCATTGCTACCTTGAGTACAATGCAATTCTTATGTTGCAAAGGCTCCCTTCTCAGTCAACTGCTGTGACCTCTCTCAGAGATTTCGTGACAGCCTGTTAGATAGCGGGAGTGGCGTCGAACTAGTGGTCTTTCTGGCATCTTTTGTGCTTGGGCACTAGAAGAAGTATTGCTGGGCTCATGTCAGGGCTGATACAGTCCTAACACAGCCATGATGTGTGCCCGGTGGATTTCTAAAAGCTCAGGAAAGGCCAGAAAGGTCACTGTCTCAACGTTGTTCCGGCCATCCGACGAGCTGTCATAGAGTCTTCGAAAGAAGTCACGTCAATTGACTTACAGGGAGCATCTGCAGTGTGAGAGTGTCTTGCGCTTGATGTATTGATGCCTGAGAAAGCTGTTTTGAAGAATCTGAAACATATGTACTGATTGAACTAATCAATTGTTTTGATCAGACTCATCCTCATTACATTACAGACAGACCCTATGTTGCAGTGAATCAGAACTCCACTGATACAAAGTAAGGAATTCCATGTACAGCAGCAGGAGGACAGGGTACCTTGGCATGTCGTTTGCCTCTGTGAAAAATCACATTTGAATGTTGAGCTAGAATGGTATGCTTTTGTCTTATGCCGCTGGCAGAACATTTACAGAGGCAGGCTATGGATTTCATTGAACAGCCATGTGCAGTAATATCTTGTAACTCGGAAGTAGTAAAAGCCGGATGATATATCTGATTAAGTGGATTTTCGAGATTAGCAAAGTTGCGGAAATTGAAGTGAAAAGTGCAGTTCCATCAAAGCACTTCACTACTATTGACCAGCTATTTAACAGGAGTTTGTAAACTATATCCCATAGTACATTTGTGCTTCAGTGTGAACCAGAGCGTGATTTCTGTTCACGTTTTGAATGCTTATTTCACTTACATCCAGTCGAAGGTTTCTATAGGGGCAGACCGTGTCAATTGCCATTGACTGGCGTAATTCAGGGGTTCCAATCAATGTTGAGTGCTTTTCTGTGTTCGAGTATGACGGTTATGGCCATGTATTGCTCCCTTTTGTCGTCACAGACGGCGTCGTGAGAACAACTTCACAGAGCCCGTCTTCGTGAATCCCCAGAGCCAACAGTTCTTTGATGACGCCGCAAAGCCACCTGAGGAGGAAGGCAAGTGAGCTTGTATCTGTTAGTGTATTGCATCTGTATCTGTGTGGGTAACATTTAAATGCTGAGCACTTTAAGGGCCGGCTCATCATCCATCCATCCCGTTGGCGTGGTCACGCTCATAGTGAAGCACTCAATAGCACAAATGTAAGCTAGCAATGCTCAAACCTGGGTTGAAAGAAACGAGCAAGCTCTAAGTAAAATGTAAATAATCAAATAGTCAAGAAGTAATCGTTTTAATCATCTTAAAAATCGCTAGAACATTTCGAGAACATAGAGATGACTCCAGCAGGGCGCAAGAGAGGACGCCACTGCCTCGCCGAGCAAGGGAATGCTCCTCCCCCTGTGTTGCCTCTGCATTGGTGCTGTGTTACTCCTTGTCATCCGACGGAGGAAACAACCTGACAGAACTCGCCGCAGATTACGTGTATCTCGACTGTCGTAACCGGTAAAGCGCACCAGCAAGTAGCCCACATGTCGCACACCGAGTTTGTGAATCTGCCTAACAAGATTCTACTTGCGCCGGGGAAACACTGCGTGCTTACCTCAAACATTGCCGTCATTGACACTTTGGTAAACGAAGCAGTGGGAACTCTTCAAACGGGAATCGCTGGGTGCTCGTCTGGCATACTTGCTCAGTTTTCACAGTGGTGGAACTGCCGTACGTTTTTTGTTGTTAAGTATGGCGTGTGAAGATAGTTGATCGTTTTGCTGAGGCTTACACGTTTGCCCTCCTTTAGATGTGCTCGGTCCTGATGAGGACTTGACTGGAGTAGCAGTGGAAGAGGACGACACCGAGCAGACTCTGGAAGCTGCGTTAACGAAGGCAAGGCGCTTGCGCCTCGCCGAGGGAAGCTCTTTGCAAAAGGTGGGCCTGCACTCTCCACAGCACACTAGTTGTTGTGTCTTCTTGCAGTTGTTTACATATTTTTGTATTCTTCAATCAACAGTAATGCTCACTTCATGCAAAATAAATAACTGCCTCTGCAAGTGTGAGGCTCGGGAAATGAAGAGCGGTGTTTTCAGATTGATCCAAACTTTGTCAGGCATCTCCAATGTCACTGTAAGCTCATGACCTATGGACAAACTTGCTGACACTGTGTAAGGCTAGGTGTAACGAATAGTTTATAAATAACATGACTCTGCCATGGTTCGAGTAACTAGTGGGATTTTGCGTGATAGGACTCAAACCAAACCATTATCCATGCCTGTGGGGGCAGTTGTCTTGTCAAACTGTGGTGCTGTGAGTGTTCCATCTGGCTGTGTTTTTGTGTGGTGTCTTGTTTGAGACTTCTTGTGGACAAAAAGTAAAGGTTGTTGCCATGGTACAGTTCCTTGAAATCACAAGTCAAAGAAACCAGTATTGAAGTTGGTACCATAAGTCAAAAGTGACAATGATTTCGAGGTGTCATTTTGCATGTTTAGTTTGCATGCTTCGTTGTGTATTCATTATAGTCAGCCTGTTTTTTTGGTTTCCTAATAGATAGCAGAGTCTGCAAGATTAGCACGTGACCAAGATGATGTGGAAGACAAAGCAAGCTCGGCGAAAGCCATTGTGCTAAACTCCACGGCCGAATTCTGTCGAACTCTTGGTGACATTCCCACGTACGGCATGTCTGGAAATCGTGATGAGGAGGCCGAAGAGCTCCTGGTACGCAATATCTACAATATCTTCATCTTGTCACACATGGATTGCATTTTTCTAAACCAGACTGTCAGCAGTCTAGCAAGTGACGTTTCTCTGTATAATAAGAGGCCCGATTATCTTGCAGGACATGGACATAGACAAAGAAGAGGAAGATGAAGAGGCGGGAGATGCGTCGAAACGCGGTGCCTGGAATGAAGTTGACATTGAAGAGAAGCCTGTGGAAATCAAGGTACCACATTTAGTGGCAACTTATTGTCCATTCACCGTTAGCTGGAGTAGGGGCCATGCTCAGATTAAAAAGCGCATTGCGTAGTCTATGTGGAAAGTCGGTGCCATTATAGAATTGCAGAAACAATGCTGATGTCGAGAAACGGAAAGAACGCTGTAAGTTCATAAGGAACGCTCATCTTTAAGTGAAACTGATGTATCATAATCAAGAGTAACTAAGTAGTACTACCGGCACACAGTTGAAGATCACGCCGAAACATGACATCGACATCAGGCCTCCTTCAAACCACAATTAAGTGCTCTTCTTAGTTGCGATCATACCATTCTTCGGTTAAGGGAGAGGTTTTTGGAACATATATATATCTATCCAAATGTTTATATCTATCCAAATACTTGCAACGTGGACCTGTGTTTCGTCTGCACTTTCTTCAGTGCATTCGTGTCATATTGTCTGAATATCAATGTTGTCGGAGTAGTACATATTCTGACGTGTGCGATGTGTTGACTTTGTGGTGGTGGTAGTGCTAAATGCTGCAACTTGCCTTGAGAAAAATGCGAGAGTGGAATCCAGCTTCAATACTTGTTTTATGGGACATGTTTTTAATGTATCTCATGGCGCAAAAAGAGCACGAGAGAAGGACAAGCGCAAACTATCAACTAAATTTATTCGAAAAAGCGCACACTTATATATACAGGTCAACAAAGTCACAAGTCATATTAGCAGAAAGTAAATCTTTTTAGTGGCAAGCACTGAAGTAATATATCTCGATGGCATGTAACGTGGTTGAGGACTTTGCCAGACACGTGTCGCCTAATCTATTAATAAAAAATGCTTCCTCTTTTTCTCGTGCAATTTTTTCATTCATTCTTGCGAGCACCCTGGTCTCTGTTAGCAAGGGTGTGCAGCCGCACTCCCTGCAGTGTAACGAAAGATTTGAATAATGTGTCCCCGATAAAGACGCCTTATGTTCTAAAAATCTATTGTTTACACACTGTCCTGTCTGTCCGACATACCAGGTGCTTGATGTCGCACCCGTGGACCTGCTCGCTCTGTCTAAGTAACTTTTTACCGACAGCCGCACAAATCTGGCCAAGCTTGTCTGCAGCAGAAAAAGCCACACTACATCCAAACCTGTCCCCAACTTTCTTCAGCTTATGGGAAACCCCATGAACATACGGAATGCTTACAAAAGGAGCCACTTTTTTTCGTTTTCCAACTTCAATTTTTGCAAGACCCTTTCGCTTAGAACCGCTAATTGGCATTCTGGGAACCTAGACTGCCGAAGCCTCTCAATCTGCCGTGCAAAACTCTCTTGCATGCGGTGTGGCCATTGCAACACCGTTCTTTACTATTTTAGAAATACCCGAACGAAAGTCTATGATAGGTTTGACGCTACGGGGGGGCGTACATCCAACATACGTGGCTTCCACCAAAAGATATGCTGAAATCTAAGAACTGTATGCAACCCTTGTCAGGAACCTCATAGGTAAACTTCAGCCCCGACCCCCACTCTTTGATAACCTTCAAAACATCGGCCCTAGTACATGCACACCGACAGTACTCAACAAAAAACATGTACATAATCGTCCATGTATCTGAAGGCCTTCACCACCGCTGAGACCAATGCAGTCTATAGGCCGCGGTCAACACTCAAAAAGATTTCACTCAAAACTGGCGCGACTCTTCACCCAATGCAGACCCCCCGACCTCCACGTTCCAACCAATAGCAGTTGACCCCAGGTGTACCGACAAGAGCTCAAGAAAGAAAATAGTAGATGCGCCACACCTGTCCCGAAACCTTAGTTCGTCATTATCTTCTTGAATGCAATTCCTGACGCACACCAGAAAGCTGTTCATTCGCAATGAGTAGTGTAAAGAGGTCTTCCACATCTACACTGAACCCTGACAGTACTTTTACGGAACCTTCCATAAGAAGCCTTGACACTTCCTCTGAATTCTTCACCCGGAAAGGGTCCACCACACAGAGGGACATCAGAGACTTCAAAAGAAAGCCAGACACCTCGCGCTGCCATGTCCCACGCTCGGAAACAATAAGGCGAAAAGGGTTTTCAGCCTTATGCGTCTTCTCAAGGAAAAACATTTCTAGCATGGTGCCTTTCACTTTCTTCACCGCTGAGCACAGGCTATCAAGTTTTCATCTCTTGCAAAAGCGCTACTGCTTTCTTCTTAACATCCCCTGGCCTTTCTTCAAACGCCTTAAGGTGCTTTTTTTACCGCTGCTTCGGCTTTCGCCTGGAACAGCCCCTCCAGCAAGAAAGCGAAGGTTCCTTTGTTATCTGCCACCATAGGCCTGATTTACCTCTCGACGAAATAGTAGACTAGGCCGCGTGTGTTCGTCACAAACTCTTGTACAAGCATTTGTGGTTTCTGCCTGGCATTCGCAATGACCCCTGCGCACTCAGCAATGCAACGAGCGTTCTCCGCTTCCGGTATCCGATGCGCCACCATTCTTCCCATCTCCAAGGCCTCAGCTGCTTTCAGGCGGGGCTCGAAACAAAGGTTCGGCCCAAGTTTCAACATCTTCTGAACTCTCTCATCATCCACAACGGCGTCTACCAACACGACGACTCTTTGCGGACTAGCCACCTCCTTCTTCCTTTCTGGCAGAGTTGGGTGCACATTATTCCACAGGTATTCTGTCACACGATGCCTTGTTCTTGTCCATTTCTTGTACGACGGTGGAGGCGTACCAAATCCGACCCAACCACACACGGACTGAAGGCAATCGTTGTACAACCGAGCCTGTCGCTACCATTCCGACGATAAGATGCGGCGAATCCATCTTGAGTGGGACGGTGAAGCCATTCATAAAGCAATGCTATGTCGAGCAGGCACTTTTGGTAACGAAAATGCCACGAAGACATCCTAGCACGGCACAGGCACACCGCATAGAAGGCCACAAGGACAGCCAGATTAGTTAACGAGAGGTGTAAACACTAAAAGAGCCCAAAGAATCAGTGATGTATTTCAGCAGGGTGACTTTTTTAGTGGTAAAAGAAAGAGTGTAAATATAAGGACTCATTTTCTCTCTTAGACACAATAATAATGACAATTAAATGACAATACCAAGACAAGTATAGGGGATGTTATTAGAAGTACCATATTCACTCGTTTGAGGACGACGCAGCGAGCAATGGAAAGAAAAATGGTAGGTGTAACCTTAAGAGACAAGAAGAGAGCAGAGTGGATTAGGGAACAAACTGGGGGATAAGGATATCATAGTTGAAATCAAGAAGAGGAAATGGACATGGGCCGGGCATGTAGCGCGTAGACAAGATAACCACTGGTCATTAAGGGTAACTAACTGGATTCCCAGAGAAGGCAAGCGGGTTAGGGGAAGTCATAAAGTTAGATGGGCAGATGAGGTGAAGAAGTTTGCAGGTATAAATTGGCAGCAGCAAGCACAGAACCGGGTTAACTGGTGGAACATGGGAGAGGCCTTTGTCCTGCAGTGGACTTAGTCAGGCTGATGATGATGATGATGATGATTTACTCGTTTAACGAACACACTTTTTTTGTTAATAAATTGTAACAAAGTAAGGCGCATTTATTATCTGGGGCATTTAATGAAAACGTTGTTTGGATGAGTGAAAAATGCGGTAATTAAAAAAAACGTCGGGTCGCTTAGCCATTCGCACTTGGCATACTTTTAACTAATTAGAAACAGCTTATTTGTTGCACTTCACTCATCTTTGCTGGTTGAAGGGGCTATCTTCTGCAAGCTGTCTATGCGCCGCCGGTGTGCTTCATGAAAGCGTTCCGCGGCTTCCTTTTCTTGCAATAACAGTGGTATCTGCTGTGATCTCGAGGGGCCTCCAGAAGCATACGCTACGACACTACGATGCACTTTGCCAACTTCGTGGCAACCTTGCATGACGACTGCGACAATATTATTGACATCGCAACAAGCTACCACTGAAGCATCAAAACAAACCGTCTATAAGAAGATGTCAGGAGTGTGAGGGCACGAGGCACATGCTGGGCGCCGGAATGCAGTGCACATGCGTGAGACCCCGATGGTGGGCAGGCGTGCCACGATCTCGTATGAGATTGGTAAAAGAAAGGCTCGTGGCAGCGACCCGAGCTGTGATGGGAAACACCGGAGGATGAGCTGTGACTGCGGTGTGGAGCTTCGAACTGTGAAGGTCAGGAAGGTCAGTGTCGCTGCAGTGGTGAAAAAAGCAGTAGCTGCCCGGTTCTGAATGATGTCGGCGTAAGAGGCCCGGGAAGTGGCCGTCGACCTTGGAAGTACCGAGTGAGGCTGCCTGAAATTGCCGCAACCTCACACAGCAGTTCTTGGGGGAACTGCAGTGCAGCTTTCCCATTTCTAGCCAGAACGAATGTCACCCACACTAGTCATCAGAGAGAGTCATCAATGAGGCCATTGGCCAGTTGGGTTTGACCAAAAGGGCCGAAAATCACGGTTTAGACCGGGACACTGGCAGTGAAGACAAATGGCACATTGGGCGAAAACTACCGACGATGAACGTAGGAGCTTGAGGAGGACATCGACGGCAGACTCAACAAAGCAACAACGGGATGAACTCTAAGAGTGTTTTATTACTGAAACACCATTTTGGCTAGAGACAGTTTAGGGCTAAAAATTGAACTCTACTCGTATTGAAGTTCTGGTTTTGGTGTATAACCCGTTTTTGTGTGTGTTTGCAGTGTTACCGCCGACTCGCGTGTCTCTCTCAATCTAACCTTTCGCAAGTGCTCCCGAGATGATATCGGGACATTAATTGGCTCATGACACAAGATTAACGACAAAATACAGCTGCCGTCTCACTGTCCGCATGAGAAATTGCTGTAGAGAAGGTAGCCTCTATCTTGCGTTCCTTGAAGTATGCGCGGATAACAACCGTAAAGGGAGAATTGGTGTGCTACCATAATGCGGAATTCTTTCCTGGGGGACAAGCAATTTTTTTCGGTTTTCCAGAAACCTGTGACGGGATAGCGTCGAATGGCCCTATGCAACAGCCAAGGCGACAGCAAACTCTGCCGTCATCGCTTGAAAATTGCGGGCATGGAGTTAGGCCTTATAATTTCGTATTTGCAGGAAGAGACTGTTGGTTGACACGGGCAGTATTATGACCTTTGATCACTGTGTGCTTATCAGCTGCAATGTCTCTACACTCGCACTGTTCGTAAATCTCGCTGTGGCTGACAGATAATAAAAACAGATGGGGACGTGCTGCACACAGATAGAAAGAAGAACAATACAGTGCGTGGCAGCGGGCAATGTAGGGGGGGGCGAGCTCAGGTGGCTAAGGAGGGTCGACATAGTAATAAAAAGCCGTGGATTCCTTCCTCAATGTAAAAAGACTAAAGAGACCCAACGGGCAAGGAGGTGCCAGGTGTTGGCTACAGGGACTGCAGTGGATGAAAGTAGGGGGTGCGTTCATTACGCGTCAGAGAAAAAAAAAAGGTCCAGATTTGGACAACTGAAGTTGACGGTGAGTTTATTATGCGAGTGCGTTCATTACGGGAGTAAATACGGTAGTTGTAATGTATATGTAAAGGAAGGAAAGTGGACGAAGAGATAACTTGCTACCGGCAGGGAGCAAACCTGCTACAGAATAGCAAGACATCTTTCCGTTCACTTTTCTTTATTCACAGTTACATTACAATTACTTTTAAAATAACACCTCCTATACTTCTCTTGGAATCATTGTCTGTTAATTACCATTAGTGTTTTGGAGGTGGCAACACACACGGTGTGTTGCCGCATTGCTTGAAGGCAAACTACATTAATCTCAAAAGTCATCTTGCGATCACTTCTCAAGATGCGGAGCAACACTACACGAGCAAAAGTTAAGGCAAGAAGTTTCAAGACATGTACCGACTTCTCACCTAATTTGTGTAGTCCTGAAACACTGCGATCTCTTAATCAATTGCCAAGTTTTCCATTCCGCTAGAGTATTAAGATACGTGCGCTTCCTATTCGCACGCTGTTGCTGAGGTTCTAATTTTGCTAGAGTATTAAGATACGTGCGCTTTTACTCGCAACCTATTCACGAACCTCGGCCTGTACAACTACAGCATAAAAATCTAGCACAGGTGACCTACAAGTGTAGCAAAGAAGCTGCGGTTAGTGTTCGAAGTGCCAGCTTCACAAAGGGCTGCTTTCTGCCGGCCCCCCCCCCATGAATAATGCCTGGCACATGGATAATGCCTGCCACTCTTCATTGGCAAGGTTAGGGACTAAAGCACCCACTTACCATGATTTACCGCTTTGGTTATCGGTCACTTGCGGTCTGAGCATGGCGCCCTTTGGTTGTGGGTATCATTTCTCCCGCTTTGGTTTTCAGGATCGTGAGAAAGAGCCTATTTTGGAAGAGGAACCTGACCTCTCGATTGGCATCTCTGGTGCACTAAGACTTGCAGTGAAAAAGGGTAAGGCTATTGAATCTGTCATGCGCGGGGCTTTCTTTTGAGAAGCTGTCTTGATGTTCCTTGTCACTTAGAGTGTCTGCTCACAGCTGTGACATTTGTTTTAGAGCTGTACTTGATATTTACAACACGGCTGCTGCAGGGAGTGTTGGGAATGGTTGAAAGGTAACTCTCGTGAAATACGTCGTGAGACACTACGATGTCTTTAACAGCTACTCTGCTTTGCGGTAAGGTAGCGTCATTTCTTCTGACTTGTTGAAAGTGTGAAACCGAGGAAGGAATTTTATTGAATAAGGGGTAAGCAATGTTATTAAAAAGAAATAGCGCATACATCAGGGAAAGTAGCTAGCAGCAGGGTTCAAAGGCTTAGAAACAGCATAGTAAAGTTTATTAGAAAGTAGTGGGGCAGCTACAGCGGAGAAAACAGTGGCAACGGTGCCCTCCCTCCTCCTTTACATCCTGCTCAGCCTGACTTTTCTTTCCCACTCCTTGCCGTACTACACTGTGCATGCCAATGCATTACCCTCTCTTCTTCTCAGCCTCACATGGCTCCTCCTCACCCTGACTTCACTTCACCACTCCTTGCTGTACTTTACTGCTAATCGCTACGCTACGCTTTTACTTCCCTTTACACAGCTGTGCCGAGTGTTTAGCGGTTGCCTACCACAGTTGGAACTCAAGCTTAATTAAGCCGCACCGCTGTTAAAGAAAAGAAAGGACTCGTTGTCTCAGTCGGGTCTGATGTTAAGGAGCTTCTCCTGTTGGCAGTACAGAGTGCAAGTGTTACTCAAAGAATGAGAAGGGTAAAGCTTTACGCGTTTTATGAAGTACAAGACTGAAATGTGATTTATTTATTTATTTATTTACAATACTGCTAGCCCTTGCGGGCTGTAGCAGGGGTGGGAGGTGAACAAGTTAACAATACACATTTATTAACATTAACAATATTAACATTAACATTTATTAACAATACACATTTATTAACATGATCTGGACCCTGTCTTATTTCTCATACAGAGGTACGAAAAATAAGAGGGAGTCATATGCGCGCGTGCTTCCTACATATGTGAATTGCTTTATCCAGTGCTGATGCGTTCTGATGAGAGCTGTTTACCATGTTGTGATCTCTTGGTTGTGTCAGTTACTGCTTGAACATAAACGTGCACAGCTCATCATTTAGTATAGACGTGTATAAGTCTGAAGACATCATGTGTGGCACGATTCGTTTGACAGTAGCTGGAATCTTGTGTGACACGCACAGTAGTCAAGTCTGAAAAAACACTTCTCATGACATTTTGTGCACGTTTTAGGGTCAAATATCAATGCCACCGGACAAATCTAGTAGGCAAGCCTTTGAAAACAGAGATAAAGTCGCTATGAAGGAACAGATCAGATTAATGCGATTTTCACTGTGCTATGTCCATGAATGTACAATCTTAGAATAATTGATATTGTTTATCTTAACTAATCAGAAAGTGGCAGTGGCAAGAAAAGCCCCTCGTGTAATCATGTGTATTAGTTTACGGCCACCTTCGGATGTTCACAATTTACCGCTGTATGCATAGTCAAAGCTTGATAAAGCCAGATCTGACAAGAATACTGTTCTTGAATTTTATATTTGCTTCCAGTACGTGAATTAAGTCCACATAAGTATTATCCTAAAACAACTCATATTTACTTCGTCTTATGGGACAATTCGTTAAACTGATGTGTGCCTATGACGTTGAATGTCTACGAGCTCTGCTCGAAGGCATTCTTGCTCGTACCTTGCTGAGATTTATCACCCGCTTTCTCCGGTCGCTTGTTTTTAGCGGTGGGTAATGAAGGCTTATTGTTAAGGCCCTGTTCTTTTGGCAGTGGTATTTGCATTCACGGAGTGAGATCTCTTGCAGGCTACATCGAGACAGGGGAGAAGGTGGTCGTGGAGAGCAAGAAGCACAGTGAGCTGCACGCACAGTCGTTCACCATTGAGGAGAAGTTCTAGTGAGTACCTGCTTGGTCTGCACTCATGTTATACTAAGGGCTGATAGTAAATGAAGCTGGTAGGAAAGATTGATGGAGACTGGAGAGGGCATAGATTCTTGAACCTTGTTGATCGAATCAACCAGTGGTGCAGCCAGGGCATTGGTTCGTGTTGTTCAACCCTGCTCGCCCCCTCATTTCTACATTTTGTATGTGTACATATGTGTGTACAAACAGAAACACACAAAATGGGCATGAAGGGGGGGGGGGGGGGCTGTTTGTTGTCGTCAGAACCCCTTCCTGTGCAAAACAGAATTTCAGTTGGACACCCCTAAAATTGGCAGCGACGCAGTACTGACTATTCGAGCTGATAAATACAAATACAAATGCCACTTCTGTGGGTGAAAACAGCTTTATGCCTGCAGTAGCATACAAAACTAGGTGAGTTAGTTTAGCTTCGTGGTGTAAAATGTGGCACATTAAGACGACACACAAAAGGAGGAGGGCACAGGACAAGTGCTGAACTAGCAACTGTCGTCATTATTGCAAAGAGGAGAATTAATACTAACAATCGCGCTGGGGATTGCTTGTTGTGGGAAATCATATACATTCAAACCTCAACATAACGAACCTGGTTATAATGATATATCGTTTATAACAAAGTAAATGAAAAGCATTCTGGCAATAGGTATAGTGTTAGAAATAAACCTTTATAACGAATGTTTGGACGTGAAATGCAACTTTGTTTTAACGAGGTTTGAGTGTATAGGTCGGAATGGCACCTGCCTTAACGAGAGGCTCCAGCAACACAGCAATACATTGAAGGGCACACCCACTTCATATTTGTTTTTCCATTGTCACACGTGTGGATGTAAACCTTTCTTCGATAACACGCATGTCATCTTCAGACATCTGGATCAAGGATCTCGTGAAATCATTGAAGCATTTCCCCATTCATCTATCTACATGGTTTTGAATGCAGCTAACTTGAAAAAGCGTGACAATTGTGTGCAGTTTTGAGAATGCACTTGCAGCGGGATTGTTTGTGTTTATTTGTAATATAGACGATGGTTGATAGTTCTGGGCTTGCCCTGTGTCCTTCTTTTTTTTGTGTGTCGTCTTTATGCGCTGCATTTTACAGCACGAAGTTTTATGTCATTAGCAACCTTTTTTAAAAAGCCTTTAATGTTTCTTTTTTGCATTCACTGTATGTTTGGTTCTCATTAGATATTTTAGAACTTTGTTGAACTTAAGCAGAAGTGACAAAAAAGTTAAACACTCAGTGCAGCAAAACATGAACCACCAACTCACCCAAAGTGTTATTGTTGGGAGAGATATGTTGCATTCGGGAGGAGATTTTACTGAGAAAGACGTCTAGCTGCACTTGTAAGTGCAAAACCATCCAATTTATTGATGATTTTGATTTACCGAGATTCTTTGTTGCATTATTTGCATTATTGCTGCTATGGTCAATAAAAGAACTCGGCAGATCCGATGTACCTTGGAAATTGGCGTTATGGGTATCATGCGGAGGGGAGTTGACTGTGTTGTAATTTTTTTATTGAGCAAAACTTTCCGAAGTAGCACTAAAGATATGTGCAAATGCACAGACACACATGTCCAAAAAGCGGTAAACTGTTATGTAGTGCTTATACTCACGAGGATAGTGGCCCTGGACACTGGTACATAAGTCAAACTTGGTGGATGGCACTTAACTACAATTGATGTTAGCCCATTGTGACGGCTGCATCATAGCAATACACATGTAATGTTTATGAAATTGTATAGTCAGCATCGCAATCGCAATGGACGTTTCACCAACATTAAGCCTGAATAGTGTCGTTTTCTAAAGAAGTATCGAGACCTGGCGTGGCTCTGTGGTAGAATACTTGATTGCCATGCAGAATGCTTGGGATCGATTCCTACTGGGGCCCTGATATTTATTCTTTGCATTCGTCGGGTCAGCACTGCCGCTGTTAGCTGTCTTCTTAATGCTCTTGCTTAAAAACGACCAATGTGTGTCTCTGCCGTTTCTTGGTGGGCAAACCGTCAATCACCTGTGGAACATACCCGCACATGTGCCACAGCTATGCGAATTCATTTAGACATTTACCTTGCAGTGACTGCTAGTGGTGGATATTGCAGCGCGTATAATAATCATTAAATAACTAATGAACAATGTTTTGTAAGTATAATTGAATTGTACGCTGGCACACTCGCAGAATCGAAGCTACTGAGTGTATTGAGGCATATTCATACGGCAGGGTAGAGATCTTGATGCATACCCTGCTATTACATTTCAATGCTGTTTCACTTCACCTGTTGCTGTATTGAGCGAGCAAGGCTTTGTTTTTGTATTTTTTTTTGTTAATGTTGGGATAACTGCAGGTGTGTGAGGGTTGTACCTATAAGTATAAGTAACTATAAGGGGCAGCTATATGCAGGGAATACACAAATGTATCAATAACTTAACACAGCTTTATAGCGAACAGGATCCTCTCATGAAGGGAAAATTTGGTTTCAGTGGAAACCTTCGTTTTCTGCTATCGGCTTGCAATGGTTTATTTATTTATGCTTTTTAAAGTTTCGGTGAAAGTCTATTACCATTTTGTTACTTCTAGATGGTTACTTATTGAAGCTCCTCTTGAAATCGAGCCTCCTGTTGCGTAGATAAAGGAGTTAACATATGATACAATAAACTGCAGCCTGACTCGGTGTGTTGCTGCTGCAGCGCGTGATTCGAAGGCCATAACAGACCGTCGTCTTCTTCGTCTATCTTTTTCCACCAAACTCTTCGCGCACCGAATTTTTCAAAAATGTTTGCTTCCAGTGGGTGCATATGCTGAACGGCCCGTGGGACAATAGTTTCACCTGGCCAAGATCTTGCCTTGTCGGCCGTTTTTCTCTTTATGTTCAAGGTCCACTGGGACTCGCTTTTCCACTTTGCCTTCGAAGCACGTCGTCGTAAACAAGCTGCAGCATGGTTGGTAAAGCTGGTGTAGATATGGCGGGAAGAGCACAGACTCTCTTCGCCATAGAGTTTCCTAATATACTCAAGAGGGCACTCTGGCGCTAGTGTCTATGGGAGCTGCAACGCACGGCGCTTCAGCGAGCATGGGAATGATGGGTTGTACACACATTTGTCTAGTCTTCCTACTTCCGGCCTGCTTTTGGCTCCGTGTGTGTTCGTGTGGCTTGGAGCTGTTTTCTCACGAAACAAAAATCAGCAAATGTTCAGCAATTGCACTTCACCACTTTATTCTTTCAGACTTACTTTTCCAAATCAGGTCACGAAGTTCCAAAGGGTTTAATCTTTCTTTCAAAGCAAAACTTAAACACAGCAATAAACGAAGCTGCAAGTACAATTCGCCGCCCGCAAGTATGAAGACTAGGCAAATGCGTGTACTGCCCATCATTCCCATGGTCGCTGAACGATCGCAGCGCCAGAGTCCCCTCTAGTTCACTTTAGGAAACAGCCGTCTGAGACTTGTCCGCCTGGCTAACTTTGATTCTTCGGTAGAAAGTCACCAGCTTTCTGTTGTTTTACGAGGTTCGGCTTCTTTTTAACTCCTCTGCACACAAGCATGGATGCAAGTTGCTTTTGCCCTTTCTGTGCGCTAGTTGCCATTGCGATTTCAACCTGCCGCGTTGGTCTGCAGGATGAGAAGTTTTCTCGTCGGTCTTCTGTTGAATTATTTCCCTGCCTCTCAACATTCTTACGTGTAGCCAATCTGCACAGCGAAGCAGCGAGCGCACCTAGCTCGAGAAATTCAAATTTAGCGCGCTCTACGACGCCACTGACGCTACGTAACCGCGTCAACCTCTTGGTTATCATATCCTGCGTATTCCTTATCAGTAAACGCTTGCGAGGTCCACTTGACATAGCTGTAATGTGTCGCTACTCTAATCAATTAATGGTGGCGAAAGCGTAGGCGGCACATTTTTTTTTTTTTTTTTCGCAAATTCTATACGCGCGTTGTATTTTGGCCTAGTTTATATAAACAGTTAAAAAAATGTGGTTAAGTGCCGCGAAGTAAGCGGCTGTGCCTTAACCGTATGTGTGTTGAGGCCCAGGGGCCATTCCGTCCTTATCAAGGGGAGTGCTAACCGTCTCTCCTTTTATACAACACACCGTTAAGGAGTTGCTGTCGAGTATATATAGGCACCTTTCTGCGGCCTCTCTAAGTTCGCGGTCCCGTTTGATGTGCCGTAATAGTTGCTAATTAATGTTTATTACGCGGGCTTTTTTTGCTCTACTTCGATTACTGACCCTTCTGCGGGTTGGCCTTTTAATTGAGACCGATGCTATCCGCGCATTTTTAATGCCTCATAGTAAAATTGTTACCGCTCGTTCGAGGCCCGTCCGCGTGAATTATGCAAGCTCATTTCCCGCGACGCGTATGAGGCGGTACGGAAAGGAGAAGAAACCGCACCGCCCGAATCCGTTTTGGCACTTTATGGTAACTAAACGACAGTTAATCGATCTGCTTCATTAAGGCAACCGGCCTGTTGTTTATTTCGTGTGCGTGATGGAGAAGCGCCCGACTGCACGTCGGCGCGGTGGAATGTCGCTGTTGTCGCGGGTTTACTGTAATCTTGTTTCTTGTTTAAGCCGACCGAAAAGGCGTGTCGGATAACTTTGTTGACGAATTTTATCATAGATGGCTTGCATGTTTCGTCACGGACGCAGCTTGTGAGAGGAACTGGGGGGACTCCACAGTGGCGGCTTTGACGACAAAGTTGCGTTTGTGACAAAGCTCTTTTGCGACAAAGTTGCGACATCGGCAACGTCACGTCCTCACATGTTGGTGCTCCAGCACGGCGGTTTTAACGCAGTCAGTGCAAGTCATCTATTGATTAGTAATTAATTTAACCTTCGATGACTCGTGCAATTTTGCTTTTTTGTGGGGAGGGTGGGGGGGGGGGGGAGAGGCAGCAGTGTTCGGCGTGGAATGCAGTGAAGAGCGTCATCGTACGTTCTATGGAGTCATAGGCGCGTACGTGAACGGGCAGAAGAATTTCGCATCAGTTAGTAAGCGAGCCGCTCAGAATTGGCGCTAAATTCAAACATTGGCTGGCATAGTGTCTCGGTTGGCCGCTAGGTAGAGCAAGCTTTGGATCGTTGGCATAAGTTAGCTCAGCTTGATCGTGGGTTCAGTTCTGGACACTGTGAAATTCAGCACCTCAAGATAAGCTATGCCGTTTTTTGAGTGTTTTATTCAGTGCGTAGAGAAAGTTTTCCGAAGTTGAGCTTTTTAGATGAGAAGGAACTGTGCCAGTTCAATTTATTCTAAACAAATAAAAAGCAAAGAGAGAATAACATTTCGTGGCTGTATAATCATTACTTCTTCAATGTAGGTCCATGGAGAAAGTCGGGGATGTTAACCCCAACCCGCTGCCTCAAAAATTTTAAATTTATTTTTATATTCAAGTGTTGGGGGGGGGGGGGGTATGTACACTTTTTTCTGCATCCCTTTACGTACCTGTTTTCTAGGCTATTCATAAAGACAGTAGGTAAACATGTAAACATAGACAAAAGAGATCTGAATGGAATAGTTTGTCTCACAACTCTTCGTAGCACTGACTTAATCATTCAGATAATGTATTTTAGTTAATGAAATTTGAAAAAGACAGCACAAAAGCTTATGTTTGTGTTTTCTTGGATCCCTTCTCTTGTGTTTGTGCACACACCTGAGCTCCTTTTATAGTGAGCTGCCTGTTCTAAGCTTCATTTCTAATTTGTACCTTTGTTGCCTCTATTGGAGGTATTGAGCTTTCCCTAAGCATTTTCCTTCAGAAATTGTTCAATTAAGAAGAAAATGTCAAGCCCCTCTGTTTGCTTGACTCTCACCTCTCGTGACTTCATGTAAAATATAATTTCTTTTTTGCGGGATCATCAAAGCTGAAGCAGGGGTGTGTCCTCTTGCCCTCAGCTTCCTTTTTTTTTTTTTGAAGTTTGAGTCATGCTGCAGCATTGGGATTAGTGCTAGGGCATGTTACCTGCATTATTGCTTATTGCAGCCATTTTTTTCTCTTATCTTGTGTCCGCACAGTGATGATGACAAAGCGAGCCGTAGAGAGCGTTACTGTGGCCCAGTGTCAGACTTCAAGGAAAAGGACTCGTACAAGCCTGATGTGAAACTTGAGTACATCGACGATGGTGGACGGATACTCAACGCCAAGGAGGCCTTCCGCTACCTTTCGCACAAGTTCCACGGCAAGGGCTCGGGAAAGAACAAGGTCGACAAGCGGGCAAAGAAACTTGACCAGGCCGCGGTATGGAATCCTTTTTTTAAAAGTGTGGCAGCTTGGGCTAGTTGGTATGGCATGACGATAGTTATAGCACGAGAAAAATGACGACACAGAGACAAGAAGGACACAAAACGACAACACAGAGACAAGAAGGACATGAAACGACGACACAGAGACAAGAAGGACACGAATGACTTGGCGTTGTCCTTCTTGTCTCTGTGTCGTCGTTTTGTTCTCGCGCTATAACTATCGTCATGCCTTTTTTAAACTTTTGAAACATGGAGTCCTCATTTAGAAAGACAGCCATATATATATATGCGCACGAGAGAGGTAGGGTGCCCCCCCCCCAAGTGGGGCTGGGGTGGCGTCTGCCCCATACATTGACCTAATAGGGGCGGGTGCACGTCAACAAATCCTTGCCCCCCCCCCCCCCCATCTGCACACGAGTATGGATGCAAGTTGTTCTTGCCTTTTCTGTGCGCTGGTTGCCATTAAGGTGGCGGTTCTACCGTCGCCATATTGCGAGTAGTTCTGGAAAAAATACCAGACGGCGCCACCAAGTCAGGACTGGAAAGCCAACATTTCGGAGGTGAACTGCCACACGTGTGCCGGCGCGCCACACTGCATGACGAGGGCGTGCAAATCGCGCTGACACGGTTCGAAGAAATGAGGCACTGAGCAGGGGCTTTTTTTTTTTCTCCCCTTCAACGACACCTCCATCTCTCTGCATGCTCACTAGCCCCTGACCCCTGCGGTCGCTGCTTTTCAAGAGATCCCTCATGTAGGCTGCGTAGCCTGCTTGGCCAGCTGCTCTACGTTCCATACAGTGCCGGAATGCGGGGTTGAGTGAAAAACTCTATCGCGGAGGTCACAACAATGTATACAATGGAGATCAAAACTTGGACTATGAGTATTCATGCGAGGTTCAACGGAACAGTTCGTTCTACAAATAATTGGGGTTGCTGGAGCGTGATGCGGTTCGGTGGGACAGGAGAAGGCAAATTATATTTGACTATGTATACTTCCTTCCCAGTATGACCTAAGCTTCCAAATTTTCAAAAAAAAAAACAAAAAAACGGGTAGTTAGGCAAATCGCGTGCTAAGAAGTGCGGCCGCTGTGACTCACGGTGCCCAACACGTGCCGACTGCATAATCATTAGTTTTCCCCACTATACGTAGCGTAATTTATTTCATTAGAATTGAAACTTCAGCAGGCTAGTATGAATTCATGTTTTGGTTGATGCAGCGTTTATTTATCACGTTGCCGTACGCAAACCATCGGACTAGTCGACAAACTATGTTTATGACGAAAATGAAGCAATTACCTCTTGTGTGTCATATGAGCGAGACTCGCACATGCGTGGCCTGAATGGTCCAGGTGCGTTATTCCCTTGTCCAAGGAACGACTTCTCTATTCGCGTGCGCTATTTCAACATCTTTTTTTTTTTCCTGTAAAGGTCGTGGCAATAACATGAAGAGTGATCGTTTCGCCCAAATCAGTTATTGACTGCAAGCTCGTAGATTCGAGGCTGTTACCTCAAGCTCTATAAACATCTCATGATAAAAACTGGGGCGGATTCACACAAACCTCCCAGGAGTGCAACAAGGGAGGGGAAGACTTATGGTACAGTGCATCTCCCATGCATCTTTCTACACAGCCGCTGCTTGTATTACTTCTATGTCGTACCCATTTCAAGTTCGCAAAGCGCATGCAAGGCAAAAACATGAGTACACGAATACAATAGTTGCAAAGGAGTTAAAGAAAAGGTCTTGTCGCACTGGATAAGGCTTTTGGATGCATGATTGGTCAATTCAAATAACTATGTCGGCTAACATATCTTCAAGCAACGAGTCTTAGTGTTGTGTATATGCTATGCAATGAAGGGCTGTCATGCAGTAAGCAAGATTGAGTCAATACACGTTGTTGTGACAATTTATTTAGTACGAAACGAGCGTCGGCAGCACTTGGTTACAGCCACGAAGACACCTGAACATCACACACACAAAAAAGCCCGCAGAACTACAACGCATACATTCAGAGAAATGTGAAATCGCACAAAGCAAAAGTACATATAATCACGATTTTCGGATGCGAACTTGTGACAGCAGAGAATGAAGGTGTATGTTTTATTATTATTTTCCGTTATCCTATATCACACACGAACTTTTTACAAAAGTTCATTGGCGCTTCTGTGGTCATGTCTCTCGGTCATTGCTGCTGCAGAACGCACGTGAATGGCTGATGACACACCCGACACAAAGAAGTGAATTGCTACCTCATAGCTTGTTCGAGAAAGAGTCTTTGCTATCGTCAAATCTGAGCCTGCATTTGCCATTCGATATATACAAGGTCGTTCTCCTAATGTGCAGTTCTTTAGAGCGAAGCTCTTACGCACATACTGCTGCGTTGAGCGGCGGCGCCTATTTCAGTGCATAGGAAATGTAGATGGGCTTCACCACTGCCGCTCCCCCACCAGACCTGCTCAGTGGGAGCATAGTCAAAAGTTATCCGCCTTTCTGCCTCCCTGAAGGACCTTACTTGTCGCGGGTGCTTCAAAGCAGAAAAAAAACAAGAGCCCTGGTGCCTCATTGCTGTCCCCGCACCGAAGTACTTTCTTACACCACGCCGTGCATTCAGCAAATTTCATGCCACTTCGCTTCGTTGTTACTGGCTGAAAAATCTGCAAGATTTTCAGGCAGTAGCATGATTTTAGCCAGTTTATGCAGTGAGCAACGGAATAAATATTGCCTGGTTTTGTGGTTTATTGAAACCGATGACGGATATTCACAGCTGACTTCGAGAGAAGAGTTTGCAAGCGCCCGCGTCCCCTTAGAGCGAGTTTGCAGTGATTATGAGGAACGCCGTCATGGGGTACTCCAGAACATTGGTGTTCGCGCATTTCGGCGCTATGGAAATGTGCGCTTGTCGTATATAAAGGCGGAAAGCGAACACGCGTCCTCAACTCCTGCCGCACCGTAGTTTTCCCCAGAGTAAATAAATGAAATAAACACGCAGAAAGTACAAAACAGACTTCATCTCATTCCTGTAGGTGTGCCTCGTTTCGTGTTTGTGCTGTTTGTTGTGATGGGTTCATACGAACAAGCGCAGCACGTCTGAAGCTCCGTATATTTCACGGTAAAAAAAAAAAGATATTCACAAATACCTTACTCACGCACGTCTGCTCAGTTCGCTCGTATGGCTCGTTTGTCGTTCGTTTTTCTGCTTTCTTCTGACTGTCGTCGCACCGCCCTCGCTTTTCGCTTTAGTCCGTGGGGGGTGAGGAGGGCAACAAAGACGTGCACACATAAAAGAGGGACTTTCCATGAATTCGGCCTTTCTTTTCCCGTGAAGACGCTCACCCCACCCTCTCGGAGGATACTGCCGACCTGTTTTCACGCTCTCCCGCGGTACCGCGCAGCCTTATGAGACTCTGAGGGGAGGAAGGCTTACAGATGACGGTGCATGGTTTGAAGTTAGAAAAGACGTTTCCTCCGGAGGCAAAATGTTTTTGCACGCCGCATTCGGGGAGACAGGGAACCTTCAAATTCAGCGCTTTCCTTATTTTTGTTTAGGTGGCGCTAGGGGAAGATTTTCGTTGTAGTGATAGGAATAATGTAGATTTCTCAATATTCCTGCAGCTGTTGTGTGCGATTTGTGTGCATAAGTATACCAGGAGACCGTAACTGTTATAGTTTAGGCTATGCATGCTTAGATTTCATTGCTATTTCAAGATAACAACGACTTTGTTGATGTTTACGGCACGATAAATTAAGACAATTCGCGAGCTTTGTTTCGCATTTCTGCTTACTTTATTGAAAAACGCTACGTTGAGGAAATAGATCAGGGGTTCTAGTTTATCTACGTGCAAATTCAGCAAACGAACTTCAGTAGTTCTCCGCAAAAATGGGCCACGGTAGGTCTATCTAATGAGAATATTGCCCAATTTAGATCAATATAATTAAAAAGTGAGCGGGCGTACATAAATAAAATTGAGCACTCAAACGGAAAATGACATCCTCTATATACACCCAGAAAATGAATTTTCTCTAGCGAATAGGTGCCGGATAGTTCGCATCGACATTTACTAAATTTGGCTCTTTTCAAAAGCTAATCAGCAATACAGTAAAAGTGCTAGAATAATTTGCTACGTTGAGGAAATAGATAAATATGTCTTAAATGTTCTGCGCAAAGAACAGTGCTGTAACTGCAGCAGATTTTTCAGAAAATGGTCACTGCTGACACACAGTCAGACCAAACCATGTAACTAGCGCTTATTCTTGGCTCTCCCTACCCAAATGCTAAAAGTTTACTTATTTTGAATTGATATGTTTAAAATGTACAAAAATTAAGCTTTTAAATGACACATAAACCAACTATATAAGACAAGAAGAACAGCCGCCACGTCAGTTGGAAAAGTGACAAAAACGATGTGCTCGTGCCGCCGGAGTGAGACCGCCGCCTTAAGAGACCATAAACGCTGAGATTGTGGTAAATTAGCCATTGCTTCCTAAACTACTTACTTATCGCTTGTAGGCAAAATGCACACTCATTTGCACACTCATCTTGGTAAATGCAGCGTCATGTCTACAGAGACATTGGACGTTGGGTGTTCCGGTAGGAATTTCGAAATACTATATTTAAGCTTCTATGGGAATGCTTTCTGTCAGCGGATTACTATTGCATGTTATTTGATTTGGATATAAATTATTTCACAGGAAACTGTGGCATGACAGTAGCTGTGCAATAATTAGATTATTAAATACAATGTAATTGAAAGTAATTGCTATGCATTACATCATAGTGTATTCTCACAACTCTGCTCACTTTAAATTGAGTCATCTGAACTTTGCAATCAAATAGTGCTATAGTCCTAAAACCCTGAGTTAACTTTAATTGGGACCTTCTGCACGAAGGATGTCATAACAAGTTAGGGTAAAACTTGTGGCAAATGTCGTGTCTTTCATAGAAGAACAAACAAATAGCCTGTTGGTGTAGTGGTTACGACACTCGGCTGCTGAATTTAAGTTCATGAGTTTGACCTGGGTCACAGTGATTGTTTTTCTGATGAAAGTGAAATACTAGTCCACGTGCTGTGAGACTTGCAGGGCACAAATCGGTACAAATTTCTAGAGCCCCTTATATGTGGTGCCTTGTAATCTTGTCATGGTTTTGCGACCATAAAAACTTCTCACATTATTATTGCCAGCAACATACAGCCACGCCCTTTTGTTTACGAATGGAGTGCTAAGAAATAACGGCAGGAAGATTGCCCCTATGCTGTGAATTTCATCGGCATAGTAGGTTGGCTTCACATGGTTTATGCTAATCCACAACCGGGTCCCACAGTTTACAAGATCCCTCACTTCTGGTGCGCCAAGTATGTTTTATTTATTTTTCTCAAATTGGTGCTTCTTGCAGAAATTGAAGCAGATGAGCTCGACTGACACCCCTCTGAGCACACTCAAGTTACTTCAAGAGAAACAGAAAGAACTGCAAAGTCCGTACATCCTGCTTAGCGGAGGATCAAAAGCACTGAACCAGTGAGTCACATCGTTTTTATGTATGCAATTCGGCTCGCCACACCAATATTGCGCACGTCTGGGCAGTGCTGATACAAATGTTCTTTTCTGTATCTTTTTTCAGGAGCTCGCTGATGAAGCCAAAATAACAGGTTGGATTGGTTTTATTCCTTTTCATTGTAAATAAAGGACTGTAAGACATCAGACGTGTTGGTGCTGTCGAAATAAAAACTGTCACTTCGATGTTTCCTTTATAAGCAACAGAATTTTATTCGGAATATTTTGTGTGCACAGTAGTGGACTTCAGAGGACTAATGCAAACAGAAATGTGTCTGTGACAACAATGGCAACTATGATGGCAACAGGCCGGACGGAGGCGTCACCTGTCGTGCTACTGCAAAAATGGAATTGGCTTCGTCACGCTATCGGGCCGCCTTCGTGCGCTGCGATGGCTTAGCGTATTCTCCTCCTCAATTAATTATCTCTCAGTGGAAAATAACTCGCACGGTCCCATATACAATTGCTTAAGAAAACTCGAAAGCGGAGTCCGCCATGTGATCCTGTCGTTATGTTGCTCCGCTGCCTAACCGGAGGTTGCGGGATCTAATTTCGATCGTCAAGGCTGCATCTTGGATGGAGGCGAGAATGCTGAGACTCATGTGCTTAGATTTAGGTGCTTGTTAAAGAACCCCAGGTGGCTGAAATTGTCGGAGCCCTTCTCTATGACGTCACATCGTGGTTTCGGGATGTAAAACCCCAACAATTTTTATAAAGCAAAGGCTATCTTTTTTTCCCTTCTCAGTCTATTTGTTGATTTTATCTCCCTCCGTACCCTTCAAAAATTTTTTTCAATTAATGTGCACCTTTGGCAAGCAATGGTCTCATGGGATGACGTCATCTTGTGACATCAGATAATGACTTTATCCCCGCAGGTCGCGGGATCGAAACCCGGCTGCAGCAGCTGCATTTCTGATGGAAGCGGGAATGTCGTAGGCCCGTGTGCTCAGATTTGGGTGCACGTTAAACAGCCCCAGGTGGTTGAAATTTTCGGAGTCTTCCACTACGACGTCTCTCGTAATCATATGGTGTTTTGGGACGTTAAACACCACATATCAATCATAATGACTTTATCATGTGATGATCTCTTGCATTGGTCCTGTTGATGCCACAGATGCCGACGATCAGTTTTTCCATTTGATGCGGCATCTAAGACTATCGCTTTGACAAAACGCACCTAATTAAGAAAGCATTCAAGTAGACTACGCTGTAACGCTGTCTTAGAAGACAAGTGCATGGATGCTTCGAGCATTCATTTGAACCGATGTTGCAGAAACTCTTCAAACTATGCATCAAACCAGCTATGCGTGCAAAAATGCGTGAAACACTATGCGGTCCTCCCGTGGTGGTTTGACATTTGCAAATGCTAAACCTATATTTTGAATACATAGGGAGCGCGGTGCATCGTTGCGGGAGAAAAGAGAACAGGAAGGAAAGGCAGACAGGAAATACGATTACGAACTACACGTTGGCGGCCCTTCGCCTTCACGTCGCACTGGTACTCGAGGGTGATGGTGGGGCGATTAAGGGAATGATTGAAGCCACACGTAGGCGTTTCAACGCGTCAGCGCGGGTCTCGGCCTCTTGCTCCTAGGAGGGAGAGTACGCGTTGTTACGCACATGTGCTCTGGGCTTAAAAGTCATGACCGCACGTACCCGTTAGAGCGCGTCAGCACGGGACTTTCTCAAAGGTCTGACCCCAGGTATTCGTCGCATGGCGCCAGAGCGGGTCTTTTTGACGCGGCGTTGAGCCGTCTCTCGTATAGAGAGAAAGAGAGCGTGGCTTCGCGTAGCCGTGCGCCCACTCTCTCTACAGAGAGAGACACCTTCCCCACTGCGCCCACTCTCTCTACAGGAAGAGACACTCTCCCCACTGCGCCCACTCTCTCTGCAGGAAGAGACGGGGCGCGTTGCTACGCTAAGATGCGCGCCCACTCTCTCTATAGGGAGAGGGCGTGGCGCCGCGTCATTAAGCCTCGCGCTGCGACGGATACGTGGCGTCGAACCTTGTCACTCGCACCCGTTGCAGCACGTGGAACTTTGATGTGGCGACACGCCCTCTCTACCGAGAGAGTAGGCGCGCAGCTTCGCTTAGCCACGCGCCCTCTCTCCATAGGCGGATAGCAAAATCATGGCTCACGCAATGGATTGTGGGCTATGGCACCGACTTCCGGTTCGAGACTCCGTGATGCTGTGCGAGCATTATTGCCAGTGCCGGCGCTTTTTGCGTGTTCCGCCTTGCACTCGTGGTGCCCTTTTCTTACAAATTTCTCCACAATACCTTGCAGTGCTATGCGGCATGGTTGAATAACAAACTCAATCACTACGAAATAGTTGTAATAGTGCGAGCGGTCATTTTTTTTTCATTGAAGCGGCTTGCACCTCCGGACGCATGCTTGTTGTTTTGCAGCAAATGTTATTATCGCGCATGTTTTGTCACATACAATGATTTTCTGCGCATCATAGGATCACGAAATATCCGTTCATTCGTTTTCGTGTTGCCCACGTACCCGTAAAATGATTTATTTACTTTTTGGTTGCAATGATACCATTCCGGGCTCGATACAGCAAATGGCCGTAGTAATGCGTTTCGAACGCTATAAATGAAACGTGCTCGCAGTTATCTTTCTTTAATCTCTTTCAATGAGGTGTCGTCCGTCGCATGCTCGAACAATATTTTTCAATGCATGCAAAATTATCCGCACTCAGCGTACAGCTGCGCAAGATAGCCCTTAAGGCTATGAGTCGGAGTATAACACGACCTATCGGCACTACAAGCTTCCAAGTCTGACATAACAAAGACGCCATACCGTGCTGCTCGTTGCTTCAAAAGCGACTTAGATCGTTTTACGTTCTACGATACCATTATTTGAGTGGCCGTTTTGTTTTGTGGGCTTTTTATGCACTCACCTGTTTCAATCAATGTTATAGACAGTTAGCGATGCAGAGTATTCAATAAAGATATACTATATCGGCATACTTCATTGCGCAAACTACGCGTACATACGTAGACAACGTACGTATATTGACATATGATGATTGATATGTGGGGCTCAGCGTCCCAAAGCCACCATATGATTATGAGAGACGCCGTAGTGGAGGGCTCCGGAAATTTCGACCACCTGCGGTTCTTAACGTGCGCCCAAACCTGAGCACACGAGCCTACAACATTTCCACCTCCATCGGAAATGCAGCCGCCGCAGCCGGGATTCGATTCCGTGACCTGCGGGTCAGCAGCCGAGTACCTTAGCCACTAGACCACCGCGGCGGGGCATTGACATATCTCAGCATGTGAACATATGTGTGAATGATCTTAAAGTGGTCTCGGTACGTGTATGCGCTCGAAAAATACTAAATCGAGGTGATCCTGCAAAATATCACTGCGTGCTTCAAAGAATAATCGCACGCTGTGCTCGAACCCCATCTTTCAACGTTCCTCGTTTTTGCCCATGTTCACGTCTCGCTTCGTTCTCTGAAATGCGCGAAATATCATCTATCCATTCACAAAAAAAAAAAAAACAATTGAACGCAATCATTGAACAAGCGGCAGCAAAAACGTCACAGAATTGCACGTGTTTCCTCCCCGATTACACTGCGCAGCAGACACATTGAAGCAGCAAAGAAATCGGCCTCGAACCGGAAGTAGCGTAGCAGACGACGCGTCGGTTTGCTCTCCACCTATTGGCAGAGGGCGTGGCGCCGCGTCATTAAGCCTCGCGCTGCGACGGATACGTGGCGTCGAACCTTGTCACTCGCACCCGTTGCAGCACGTGGAACTTTGATGTGGCGACACGCCCTCTCTACCGAGAGAGTAGGCGCGCAGCTTCGCTTAGCCACGCGCCCTCTCTCCATAGGCGGATAGCAAAATCATGGCTCACGCAATGGATTGTGGGCTATGGCACCGACTTCCGGTTCGAGACTCCGTGATGCTGTGCGAGCATTATTGCCAGTGCCGGCGCTTTTTGCGTGTTCCGCCTTGCACTCGTGGTGCCCTTTTCTTACAAATTTCTCCACAATACCTTGCAGTGCTATGCGGCATGGTTGAATAACAAACTCAATCACTACGAAATAGTTGTAATAGTGCGAGCGGTCATTTTTTTTTCATTGAAGCGGCTTGCACCTCCGGACGCATGCTTGTTGTTTTGCAGCAAATGTTATTATCGCGCATGTTTTGTCACATACAATGATTTTCTGCGCATCATAGGATCACGAAATATCCGTTCATTCGTTTTCGTGTTGCCCACGTACCCGTAAAATGATTTATTTACTTTTTGGTTGCAATGATACCATTCCGGGCTCGATACAGCAAATGGCCGTAGTAATGCGTTTCGAACGCTATAAATGAAACGTGCTCGCAGTTATCTTTCTTTAATCTCTTTCAATGAGGTGTCGTCCGTCGCATGCTCGAACAATACTAAATCGAGGTGATCCTGCAAAATATCACTGCGTGCTTCAAAGAATAATCGCACGCTGTGCTCGAACCCCATCTTTCAACGTTCCTCGTTTTTGCCCATGTTCACGTCTCGCTTCGTTCTCTGAAATGCGCGAAATATCATCTATCCATTCACAAAAAAAAAAAAAACAATTGAACGCAATCATTGAACAAGCGGCAGCAAAAACGTCACAGAATTGCACGTGTTTCCTCCCCGATTACACTGCGCAGCAGACACATTGAAGCAGCAAAGAAATCGGCCTCGAACCGGAAGTAGCGTAGCAGACGACGCGTCGGTTTGCTCTCCACCTATTGGCAGGGGGTGCGGCGCCGCATCAAAAAGCCCCGTGCCGACGCGCTGCAACGGGTGCTGTGCCCTCTCCATGTGAAGAGAGAGGGCGCGTGGCTACGCGAAGCTACGCGCCCACTCTCTCTGTAGGGAGAGGGCGCGGTGCCGCGTCATAAAGGTGGTGGTGGTAGTGGTTAGAAGATGAGAAAAGGCACCTAATTTCTGCAACCCGGTCGGGAGCACGGCGCAGTGCCATAAAGCCCTGTGCTGCGATAGATACGTGGGGTCAGGCCTCCCCACACGCACCCGATGCTGCGCGTAGAATTGAGACGTGGCGACATGCCCTCTCTCTAGAGAAAGGGGCGCGCTGCTTTGCTTAGTGAGGTGCCCTCTCTCAATTGGCAGAGGGCGCGCTGCCGCGTCAGCACGCCCCGCGCTGCAACGGGTGCGTGGGGTCAGGCCTTTACGCGGTGCCGTGC